AGAGAGAGAGAGAGAGGGGGGGAGAGAGAGACAGAGAGACAGAGAGAGAGAGACACAGACACAGACACAGACAGACAGACACAGACAGACAGACAGACAGACAGACAGACAGACACAGACAGACCAACGCAGACAGACAGACAGACAGACACAGACAGACACAGACAGACCAACACAGACAGACAGACAGACAGACAGACAGACAGACAGACAGAGATCGAGAGAGACAGAGACACAGAGATACACAGAGAGAAGGAGAGAGATAGATAGATAGATAGATAGATAGAGAGAGAGAGAGAGAGAGAGAGAGAGAGAGAGAGAGAGAGAGAGAGAGAGAGAGAGAGAGAGAGAGAGAGAGAGAGCGAGAAAGATAGATAGATAGATAGAGAGAGAGAGAGAGAGAGAGATAGAGAGAGAGAGAGAGAGAGAGAGAGAGAGAGAGAGAGAGAGAGAGAGAGAGAGAGAGAGAGAGAGAGAGAGAGAGAGAGAGAGAGAGAGAGAGGCAGACGGAGAGAGACACAGAGGGCCAGAGATAGATACAAAGAGACTAAGACAGAGACTGCAACTGAGACCAACATCGACACAGTGCAAGAGAACTGATAGAGACAGAGATATCAAGCAAGAGCCTGATCTTGAAATATGACGCACTAGCAAAAGTCGTCTTCCTCACGGTATACAGACTAAACTGTAGCTACTTCATCCTTCACTCAGTTACGCACCACTACGAACGTGAAGATGGGCCGGGCCCAAAAATTGGGATAGAATTGATCTATTCCATTGGTTTAGAAGGATTTGTAGCCGAGAGACCGGTTTTTAGGTAGTGGTGTATGATAGCAAAAGGTGAGGCAGGAAATTCTTCGTTTACTCAATTACGAGAGAAACAGACATTCAGACATACCGTATTTCCCCGATTATAAGTCGCATCTCCATTTTCAGGTCCCTGTCATATCACTTCAATGCATTCACTTCAGTAGTAAGTCATGCTCGATTGTAAGTCACACCCTCTTTTTTGGCCATGAAGTTAAGAGTAAAAAGGTGTAAGACTTCTATTCGGGGAAATACGGTAAGGAAATGTTGACTGTATCATTGCATACAGAGATAGAATTGATCATGAGTCACTTGATGTTTGGACCACACTTGCCCATTTCTTGAGAAAGAAACATCAGTCACTTTTTTGAATGCTATCGCCAGCTACCTTTGAGACACTGAGTCACCAAAAAAGGATACAGGCAGGCAGGCAGCCAGGCAGGCAACTGAGGCAAGTGGGTGGGCAGGCAGGCAGGCAGGTAGCAGGCAGGCAAGCGGGCGGGCGGGCTTTTTGGGCGGGCAGGCAGGCAGGCAAGCGGGCAGGCAGACAGGCAGTCAAGTGGGCAGACAGGCAGACAGGGAAGGGGGCAGGCAGGCAAGAATGCATGCAGGTAGGCAGGCAGGCAGGCCAGCAAGCAGACAGACAGGCAAGCAGGCAGGCAAGAAGGTAGGCAGGTACGAAAGGCAAGCAGGTACGCAGGCAGATAGGCAGAGGTAGAGAGATAGACCAATAGTAAATTGGAAATACAAAGAATTCCACTTCTAAAAGAAAATCTCACCATGAGAATGCGCCGATAGCTGTTGTGATCAATACACCACAATGAGAGATCAGTCTTGGCCTGTACATTGTGCACACGCACATACACACATACACACATACACACACACATGTTCGTGGCAACAGGACTTTAGTTTGCGAGACACTTTCGTCCTGTCATCGCGGACGCAATTCTTAGTGCTGCTACCAGAAAACTCCGAGAACAAAACGATCGTAAGTCATTTGGTGAAGCGAGTCGTGTCGGTGAACAGCTGGAGAATATTCTGCCGCAGTGGAGCAGCAGTCCTAACACTTTTTAACTTCAGAGAATGAAGCGCTTCCCTATTCCGTTGACAAGCGCGGCGTTCACGGGTGTAATGCATTTTCGCATCAGCTTGCAGTAGATCGTCAGGAGCCAGAGGTACTACAGTCCATTTCAACAAGATTAGCAATCAGGTTTTGGTCTTAAAAAGTATGAAGATAAGGGAAATTTCGACAACAAAGTACATAGAATGGCCTGTTAGGACACGGCAAATTGTTCTGTGAAGGTTTCGGAACAATTGGACAAGCCGTTGAGGAGTTAGAATTTCGGCCAGGTTTCCGGCCTTTTCCCATGATTTACAATTTGCCCTGGAAGCCAGTATCGATTTTTTATCAAAACCCACGATTTATTCTTTCCTTTTTGGCCTTGCGGTTATGAATGCTGTCTGCTGACGATGAAGTTGTGAGTTCAAATCCCAAACTATCTTCAAGTCTAACTTTTTTTTCATTGTTTTGGTGATCACGCTGGTAAATCTACAAAAAGTACAAGCCAGAGAAGGTGGCTGCGCCAAACGACTTGTTGTTGGAGCTCGCGTTTCCTGCCGAACTTACTGACACTTGACTGGTTCACGCCATGTGAACACACCCACAACACTGAAACGGTGTGAGTGAACACGGAAGTCATTGCGCTGTAGCTACGTGTTGTTGAATACAAAGGCACATCGATCGATCGATTTCTTTTAGTACTTCAAGATCGCCAATTTATTTGAATATAGGAGTCAACGCCGTCTTCTATCAGCTTTCACAGGCGTCTGCTTTTCTCAAAATGTCGTCGAAGTCACACGGATAGCTTTGCCAAGTCATGGCCTTGGGAATGAGTCTGTGTCGATGTCGTTTTCGTCACTGATGGTGTCAATTCTTTTTCTATCCGTGCTGCATTGTTCTTTAATGCACTACACTCTGAACTCCGCAGTTCTTCACACTCAGCATTTCATGCAGAAATTCAACAACTTTTTGAAGGACCCAATGCAGGTCAACCGCTTTCTTAATTTCCTTTTTGGCCGCGTTACCAATGTGTAATGAACGTTGTATATCCTTATTGACTTCTTTTTCCTTGGTGCAAGTCACACTCCATGTATGTTCTTCATTATCTTTCTTTACCTTTACTGGGTGTTCACATTGTCTATAGCCTCATCTTTTAACTTTTCTTTTTCCTTTTTGCCTCATCGGCACTCTTTGAATTTGTGTGTCAACACTGTTGAGTTGTTCGATGTTAAATAGATACTCTTGCTGCTGCTGCTGCTGCTGCTACTGCTACTGCTACTGCTACTGCTACTGCTACTGCTACTGCTACTACTACTACTACTACTACTACTACTACTACTACTACTACTACTACTACTACTACTACTACTACTACTACTACTACTACTACTACTACATCATGAGAGTAAATTACATCGCAGCTCAAAGAAATTGGGCACGAAACGAATTAGGACCCATCCCGCTCGTCAACATTCACCACACTTTCGACATGTCCTCTCTGACTCCATATCGATACGAGGAAGATCTCGTTTGTTGTAAACCAGAGTATCGACATGAGTGAGTTATCATTTTTCATGCTTTCGCGCGGATTATTTCTTCGAGTTCACAGTGAGTTTTTCCAGCCAGCTCTTGAGCGCGCATACGGTAAGACGGCAAACTCCCCGGGCGATCGCCAGGATTGCTAATCTTTTTGAAATGGACTGTAGGTAGGTGTCGTTGTGGAAAGAATATAATTATGTTGTAGCTGCCAAGTGACATATGTGTAGTGTCTCTTCACCGTATTGATCGCCATTGTAACATGGTACATCTTGGAAATTTTAGTTCTGGACCAAGTGATCGCTGCCAGCGCTGTTTCCGTCAAGTTTGCAGTGAATGCGTCCGTGAGGAATCCATCGTCTGGTTGTCTCTACTCGTGACTCCAACCGCCTATCGCACTGCAGTGTATACTGTATACTGAGTATGACCAGCATAGCCACTGCACTGCAGTGTATACTGGATACTGAGTATGACCAGTATAGCCACTGCACTGCAGTGTATACTGGATACACAGTATGACCAGTATAGCCACTCCACTGTCGTGTGCATAGTACATCAGAAGTACAGTCGTCGCCAAAACCATCCGGCCAACATTATGCTATCTGTACATGGGCCCCATGCACTACCACTACTAGTGCAGTACATATGCGCTGACTTAGTGACTATGCCCTGCTATCCCCCCTGCTATCGGACCTGCAACCAGTACAGTGCTCGGCAACAGGCATTGCAGATCAGGGAGTCTGTTCAGTGCTGCCCTGGTACAGTAAATGCATGGATTACACCAAGCACTGCCGGTGAAGCTGCCTGCATTACACCAAGCACTGCCGGTGAAGCTGCCTGCATTACACCAAGCACTGCCGGTGAAGCTGCCTGCATTACACCAAGCACTGCCGGTGAAGCTGCCTGCATTACACCAAGCACTGCCGGTGAACATGCCTGCATTACACCAAGCACTGCCGGTGAACATGCCTGCATTACAGCAAGCACTGCCGGTGAACATGCCTGCATTACACCAAGCACTGCCGGTAAACATGCCTGCATTACACCAAGCACTTCCGGTAAACATGCCTGCATTACACCAAGCACTGCCGGTAAACATGCCTGCATTACACCAAGCACTGCCGGTAAACATGCCTGCATTACACCAAGCACTGCCGGTGAACATGCCTGCATTACAGCAAGCACTGCCGGTGAACATGCCTGCATTACACCAAGCACTGCCGGTAAACATGCCTGCATTACACCAAGCACTGCCGGTGAACATGCCTGCATTACAGCAAGCACTGCCGGTGAACATGCCTGCATTACACCAAGCACTGCCGGTAAACATGCCTGCATTACACCAAGCACTGCCGGTAAACATGCCTGCATTACACCAAGCACTGCCGGTGAACATGCCTGCATTACACCAAGCACTGCCGGTAAACATGCCTGCATTACACCAAGCACTGCCGGTAAACATGCCTGCATTACAGCAAGCACTGCCGGTGAACATGCCTGCATTACACCAAGCACTGCCGGTGAACATGCCTGCATTACACCAAGCACTGCCGGCGAACATGCCTGCATTACAGCAAGCACTGCCGGTGAACATGCCTGCATTACACCAAGCACTGCCGGTAAACATGCCTGCATTACACCAAGCACTGCCGGTGAACGCGTATCATACCTCTGTGTATCCATGGTGTTAGCATTGGCCGGATTTTTCAGGCAACGACTGTATTTATGAATAGCTTACCTTGACTGTGGCTGCTCTTGGTGTGCCATAGATGAGAGCTAGTTCACCAAAACTAGCACCACTACTAAGCGTGGCAAGGAATGTATGGTTCTTCCAAACCTGTAATACCACACACAGAAACACACAGAAACACACAGAATAATTACAGGAAAACCCGTTGAAGGTAAACACCCGTCTTTTCTTTCGGTACAAAATTCTCACCCGCTTCTAGCTACCAATGATTGGGTTTGTCAGTGTATAGAATGTGAAGAGTTGTTCCCGTATGTCACGTGATTGTCGCCTTGGAGTTGACCAATGACAGATGAAACAGCGCGGGCTGGAAAGCGCGGTCCTGCCTGCTCAAAGGTGATGGAACTGGATCCACTGCCCGTCGTCAAGTGACGACGGGCAGGAACGGATTCCACTGCCCGTCGTCAAGTGACGACGGGCAGGAACGGATTCCACTGCCCGTCGTCACTTGACGACGGGCAGGAACGGATTCCACTGCCCGTCGTCACTGGACTGACTCTCTACTTCATGGTTTTTCATTGGTTACTAATAAAATAAAGAAAGCAGATGAGCGACTGTTTGCAACCACAACTGTCATCATGGCGCTCCAACATTTGATCTGGAACTGGGAGAAAAGAAGCCCCTTTGTTGAACGATATTGGCGATGTGAATGAGCTCCTCCGAAAGGTTGAGGTTGAGACTGAAACTTTTATTGCGGAGTCGCTCGCGAAGGAGATCTTGGACGAGCCGGATGAGCCTCAACCAAAGCGCGCAATGCTCAGCAAACTGCAGGACCCGCGCAATTATTTGCCGAGGTTTCCGATTAAGACGTGGGAAGAATCCGTAGGAACAGAACAGCCAGAATGCCTGATGCCCAGTCGACAATGCATGTCAATGGCCCCACGAGAAAAAAAGCACTATGGACTACTACGAAAAAACTGTACCAGAAAACAATCACAAAACACAATGCAGGTGTGTCCAGGTGTCTTGTATCTCTTTATTTGGCTTGGGTGCACACGGAAAACACGTTCCAGTCACTCATACTCGGCCAGTACCGCTGTTCATCCAGCCCTTGCCGCTATCGCGGCGCGGGCTGGATTCCGCGGTACTGCCCTCGTACTCGTGCAGGAACCTGTACTTCTCGTATGCACATGAATAATACAAAGTAGAAAGCGGGGCGAATGGATTTGAGTACAGTCAGGCCTTGCTTATCTGGTCCTCTTTTATCCAGATCCCTCGCCACCCGGAAGAAAATCGCTGGTTACCAATGTGCAGCATACGTTATGCATACAACATAACCGGACCTCGCGATCCGCATACCGGTGCATGATTTTGTGTACAAACTGGTTGAAATGTGTACAAAAAAGTGTATCCAGAGTTGTACACTCTTGGAAACTTACATACTCATGCTACTATGCATTCACACCCACATACACGGAAGAAAAGAGAATACTGTGGGTTGTCAGACCTACCCCCACTTCCCCAGACTCTATGATGTAGAAGTTATCTCCAGGAGCACCTTGGTTGATGACGATCTCTCCCTCATAGAAATGTTGGGCAAACATTGCATCAAAGATATCACTGAGCAAGTACAATAACAATGAACAAAGGACAGTGAACAACGGACAATGAACAACGGACAATGACAACGGACAAAGCACAACGGACAAAGCACAACGGACAATGTACAACGGACAATGGACAACGGACAATGACAATGGACAACGGACAATGACAACAGACAACGGGCAATGGACAACGACAATGGACAACGGACAATGACAACAGACAATGGACAACGGATAATGGACAATAACAATGGACAATGACAGAAAAAGAAGCAGACATCTCTGTGTTACTGGAATATCCAAGGCAAATACTAGAATATTCAAGGCAAATACCAGAATATTCTAGGCAAAACCAGAATTTTCTAGGCAAAAACCAGAATATTCAGGCAAATAACAGAATATTCTAGGCAAAAACCAGAATATTTTAGGCGAAAACCACAAAATATAAGGCAAAATATCCAAGGCAAAAACAAGAATATCCAAGGCAAAAGTCAGTTGGCTATCAGCAATACATAGGGTAGAGGGATTAATACGGTAAAAATTGCCCCAAAAGTATGAATTCCACCTGATCGAACCTGAGTTCTGCAAGCCTTTATGGTGTAGGTACCATGAATCCAGCATGGATACAATAGAGAAGTGACAAGGCTAGAACAAAAATATGTTTGTTTTGGATCGGCAGCCACCCCCAAAAAATAGACTCGGTGGGCCGGGGAAAAAACCTCTTTCGGACAACTTATTTTGGGTGCATATGACAGAGCAATAGTGAACCTGGTGTGTACTTCCATTGGTTTGGTTGTACTTCCTCCGCGCCATCGAAATTGTCGCAGTTTGACTAGTGACTTTGTCACTTGTTACTGACAACTCCATAAGCTAAGCCATTCAAAACTTATTACACAGTATGATAGTCTGAAGACTAGAGTAACGTTCCAGGACAGTTGGACTGAGAGTTTTCATGCAGAAATGAAGTCCTCGTCGTCGCTGATGTCAATGGACGCAAAAACATCGTTCCGAAATATTTCAAGGAAGGTTGAAAGTTGGTCGCGCCTCATCTCAAACGCTTTGACCTTCTCCACAGGACAAGAGCTGCTATGCTTGTCGTCTGCTAGCTCTGGATGATTTCTACTTCACCACCAACGAAGCCTAGTAAGAATACACGATCGTTGCGAGGTCGGTTGATTACCATCGGCGGAATAACCTCGATCTTGAAAAGAACATTTTTTAGCCGGGGCATGCCCATTTATTTTACCTGTGTGGTCACAGCTCATGCAGGTAAGTGTAGGTCTACTATCACGTCCAGCGTGCCCTCTTTTTCAGCATCACCGGTATACCATGGTACGGCACCTGCGCGTGCATCACTAGCACTACGTGTAGAGTCTACACGGCTCTTGCAGGCACAATCATGTACTGAGTGTCTCAGCCAGAGCGACACATTTTATCGCTGTTGCAGGCATTTAGTTTGCTGACCCCTCGATGTTTCTCCAAGCGCTGCCCCTTGTTCCACGAAGTCATTCTCACCCCAGCTAAGGTAAAACAGGGATGAGGCTTGAGTGAATGGCCATAAGCACGAGAAATGTGCAGTCTGCAATGCCTGACTGATCTCAGCGAGTCGAAATTACCATTGCAGCGACATCAGCGAAGAAATTGCGTCTAGTTCAAAAAATTCCAGCTTCCAACAACAGAAAATAGAACTTTGCCGTCACCCTATACTGATGACTATCGCCTATGTCCGATTCCTTTCCTCTGGTACGAGTGCTGGTGAGTAAATACCCCGTTTTATATCAAAAGTCAAACTGCGACAATTTCGATGACGCGGAGGAAGTAGGTAATTACACTTCAAGAGGCTGGACACTGTTACTATTCACCCAAAAGTAGCAGGTATGTGGCAAAACCATGGAAAATTAGTGATAGAGATAGCAGAGATTTCCACCTTTGTGCAAAGTATCTTCTATAGTCTTCTTATCACTCTGGTATTTTTAGCTACTTCCTCCGTTAACAAAAACTTCGTGATGGATTTTTGAGGGACCGGTTTGCGCACAAACTGCCATGAAATGAGTCGCGGTCACATTCTCGGCCTTCCCTGACATGCCATGAAAGAGGTACGATGCAAGGAAAGCGACCTTTCATGACAAGCCGAGCGGAATCGATGGTTGTGCTGTGGCAACATAGGTGATTTACACTCATGGCGAACGAAATTGAAATAACACTTCTTCGAGGGGATAATGCCCTGCACGCTTGGCCTCTCTACGACTCTAGCACTGAGTTTGAGAGTGATAGAGAGCGATGGAACGGAGCAACGAGCCTACACAATGAGCGAGTGAACAAGGAGCTGCTCCGATCGCACTGCGCAATGAAATAACTCTCAAGTTTTTGTTCAACTGCGCAAAGCCCAGATTCGAATGCTGATGACCATGCATTCTTTCAGAAGTCTGCAGTCCGACGCGAGTTTCGTGGCTAAGGAAAGTCGACTGGACTTTTTAGGCGCTCTTGTTCAGTGCTTGTAGGAGTATCCATCCGAATCAGTTTGGCTGTGCCATTACTCCCGCGTTTCGCGGAGTTCTGGAGAGTGGAGATGAAACCAGGGAGTCGGAAAATATTTTCACGACTCCCTGGTGAAAACGAGTAATCGCCACTGCAGCCGATCTGTCAAACAGCTTGAAAGCCAACTTGAACGACGGCGACATCACCAAAGTTAGTTCAGCAGAGTGTGATCAAAGAAGCTGAAGAAAGGCTGAAACGAGCTGAACAACGACTCGAGAGAGAGAGATGATGACTCGCGTGCAGCAGATGACGACAGCGACGCAGGGTCAAAAATGAGTCGAGCGAAAGGGACGCAAACTGAACTCTCTGCTCACTCTGCCAACAGTTTCTCTTGTAAAGACGCTTTACATGGGGTGAACTACCTCCGTCCAGTGATTTGCAGTCGATACAAACTGTTCTTGACCTGTTCTAAGCGTTTTCATATCCATTAAAATCCATCACAAAGTTTTTGTTAACGGAGGAAGTATGAGCAATCGCTTCAGAATAAATATACCGGAAGTATGGGTTTGAAGTTCCATCTGCTCAAAATATGTTGCACAGAACTTGATTTTTGCCGGCAGTGAACCCCAAACTGCTATGCGAAGTGGTACCTCCAAACCTCAACTGTCTGCCATGGCTCATCTGTTCACCGTAGGACCATGGCTCATCTGTTCACCGTAGCACCATGGCTCATCTGTTCACCGTAGGACCATGGCTCATCTGTTCACCGTAGGACCATGGCTCATCTGTTCACCGTAGGACCATGGCTCATCTGTTCACCGTAGCACCATGGCTCATCTGTTCACCGTAGGACCATGGCTCATCTGTTCACCGTAGGACCATGGCTCATCTGGTCACCGTAGCACCATGGCTCATCTGTTCACCGTAGGACCATGGCTCATCTGTTCACCGTAGGACCATGAACCTTGGCTTAGGAGGAGCATAGGTATAATGTTTTCGAACTACAAAAATACCAAAGTGAATTTTTGTAGCCATAATGTATGGGCCAGACCATGTGTGGTGCATACCTTCTTTCATTTTCATCCAGGTGTGCGAACAAGATGTTACTTGCAATGGATGCACCAAGACGAGACATAGTCTTGTAGTCTTTTGGTATTACCTGTTACACACACGCACAACCACAAAAATACAGACATACAAAAACACGCACACACAACACACACAACAGACGCACGCACACACACTCACACGCATGCACGCACACACTCTCACACATACACACACACAATACGCACATACACAATACGCACATACACAATATATACATACACACATACATACATACTTTTACTTGTTGCTCACCGCCAAAACTGGCCACGTGGGTCTCCCCGGGAGAGGGGAGAGAGACTCAAAAGGAATCTTGGAAAGATGACTCAATTGGCTATTGATCCGCCCAACGGCCGACACCCCCTGAAATCCCCAAAACTCTGGGTGGACTTGAAAATGATCCCACTTATGGGCTCACCACACCTCAGGAAGTGGGTGAGGACAGGTTCAGAAAAAGGATTGACGGCATCAGAGTATCCGTCCTGGGATCCAACTGCAGTTACCCCTGCCCCCAGTGAAGGTAATACGTGCTACTAGTGTGGGTGGCTAAATAAGAGTGGATCTGATATAAGCTTCACTAGCACCATTGATTACACAAGAGTTAATCTACCCAGAAGCAGTCCATGGTTAACAGGTATGTATACTTCAAATAGAAAGTATATGAACCCTGGAACCAACAAAGGTGGCAGGTACAACATTACACCTTCAAGCAGCTGAGCCCGTTGGCAACAGACCCAACACAATCCGGCATAAGTGTACCCATCAACCGAACTAGCTGGCACATACACACATACACGCACATACACATACATACACACATACATGCACACCATGCATGTACACACATACAAACCAAAGACAATTAGCAAACATACACATCACATACACACACAAGTACATACACCTAAATACAAACACACAAAAACACAATCATACTTGAAGTATGAACCAGCTGAGGCACCTTCACCTCGGTAACCACAGCAGTTAACCGGATCGGGTAGCACGACACCTTTGCCTCGGTCACCACAGCAGTCAACTGGGTCGGGTAGCACGAGTTCATCACAAGTTTTCTGCAGATTCTCTGCATGACTAACTTTTCGCGAATTTCTCAATATTTACATCAGTCTAGTTGGCCAGTAAGCATCTCGCTGTCCTCCTCTGTTCACTGTCCTCCTCTGTTCACTGTCCTCCTCTGTCCTCCTCTGTTCATTCATGTTATGTGCTATTCCTCTAGCTTCATTCGACATCAAAGGCCCATCAACATCATTAACTTTCTTAGGACATGCACTACTGTGACTGCCAGGAAGCTAGGCTAGTAGGCTACTACCGTATACATTGCATGTGGTGAAGCGGACATCTGTACATGGATACCAAACAAGTACTACTTTGAATACTCATGACGAATAGCTCTACCAAGCAGCCGAGCGGGTAATTTTCTTCGGATTACTCCGATGTGCTTAGCTTCCTAATGACATCACAGGGTGGTGCATCAGCTTCCACGGTGACGGAGGTCTTACAGTCTTCATGCCATCATCTTAGACGCACGTCTTTGGCAAAGCCACTACCGTCTACATTAGCCCAACAGTACGAGCCCATACTGTAAACCGTGAAATTATTGCGATGGTCTAATTTCTGCGAAATTCGCGACCGCGTGGAAATCGCAAAATTTAGACAGCGCGAAAAGGAGATCCATAAAAGGTTTAGCATGAATGCCACAGTATCAAATTCTGCAATCGCAAAATTAAAACCTCGCAAACCTGTCCGGATTCTGGAAACGCGAACTAAAAACACCGCGAAAATTTCACGCTTTACAGTATTACTGTGCTGGCCATTACATGCCATAGATAGTTAGTTCCTCTTTGTCAGTTGCTACCACGAACCTGAACAACACTTAGCCTGGTTCACAAAAAGTCAATGTTTCAGCTGGCATGGAGTTGCACGAAAAAATCCTCAAGACAAGCGTGACATTTGCCTGATATGAATGGTGTTGTCCTGCAAGCTTACGGCATTTCTCGGGAATTGTTTTGTCGTCCAGTTTTCCGGTCAAGTATCGGATGGTCTATAGTTGGACAGAAAGCAGGCCAATGAGAAGTACTAGTACTTGCATGTTGTGAAGCGGGCCTCCAACCAATCGCTGACGGCTCTTCACCATGACAGCAGAGAGCGTTGGTGCAGATCGTGAGCTGCACTGGATCGCTACTGCACTGTAGCCTTTTCAGGATGTTGGCCCTTGTAGCTCGTGTAAAACGATGTGAGCCAGAGCGCGCTAAAACATGACCACAGCTTTTTTTGAAAAAGTCGAGATAATCGCGATTTGAATTCCGCGTCAAAAAATACGAAGTGCAGTGCAACGCGAGTCGCTGTTGTTGTTCTCCTCGGTCGACTGGACTGTTCCGGATGCATTTCTTTGTTGCAAGTAAGTTTACTTGTTTGAGTTTGTATTCCATGTTGCGCTGAGTTGCCTAAAACTGATCGTCAATGTATCGACGGAAGAGCCTAGTAGTAGTAATGTACTGCGGAGCGGAAGAAGACGACATCCTCGCGCTCCATGCGCGGGATAATATATTTTGAGGATTCGGGTCGGAAACAGAAGGAAGACAATGATGGCTACAGCGACGAATCATTTGAGGGCGACACTTTCATCGAGCGTAAAAGATTTGATGCTGGTAGTCCCACGGTCTGCATTGACGATGAATTCTAATCTGATGACAACCCGGCAAGCGATTGGCATCGACACTGACTTGGGAGGCGAGTCGGCCGATGATTTGGCCAGAATGGACATCGCTGCACATATCCAGGACAATGCCAGTCTTGGTTGCAAGTGCAAAAACAATCAATGGACTCTGCTGCTTCCTCAACTTGCTCAAGTCGATAATTTGAGTACCCTTATGCGGAACATCGCTAACACGAGCAGTAGGCAGCGAAAGCAGTACTCTCTGGCGAGCGAATAAAACCGTGTGCAGATGGGCTTTGGTGTGGGGAATATGAGTGCGACGTCGAGTATGTTGAGGAAGACTGTGTGCCGCAGTGTATACTGTATATCTGAAAGTACACGTGGAGTGTGATGGAGAGCTAGAGAACGTGAAGTGCCAACTTCTTCGGCCATCTACAGATGTTGACCGTGTTTTCGCTGGCGGTTCTCCAGTGGTGCTCCAAACAGGAGGTATTTCGGACACCCAGCTCAGCTGCCTATAGAAATTTAGGATGTGGCCGAGCACCTGTCAGCTCATGCTATAAGACCCTGGACAGAGGAACTGACCAGGAAAGGATGAACCAAGGGACATATCAACTTTGTGCAAAAATGACAATCCCATTGCTGTACATAGAATTTCACCATGTCAACAGTGCTGCATATAATACCATTGTAGCAACACTTAGACATGTCCAATCAATCACTTTCAGACAGTGAACATTAGGTGTGTTTGATCATTTTTGAACAAAAAACTGAAAATCGAATTTTTGGTCTGTGGTCATATTTTAGCGTGCTCTGGCTCATATCATTTCCGCCCTGGCGTCTGCTACGGTCGAGTTCGGCCCTGACGTCTGCTACGGTCTAGTGCGGCCCTGACGTCTGCTACGGTCTAGTGCGGCCCTGGCGTCTGCTATGGTCTAGTGCGGCCCTGACGTTTGCTATGGTCTAGTGCGGCCCTGACGTTTGCTATGGTCTAGTGCGGCCTCAACGTCTGCTATGGTCTAGTGCGGCCCTGACGTCTGCTATGGTCTAGTGCGGCTGTGTACCACGTGTACGAGTATGCACATGCCGGAGTTGGTGACGGAGCATCAGCCGAAATATTGGCCAACTCAACAAATATCTGGCACATATCTATTATCGGCTATTGTCAACCTGGGCATTTTGGGACGAAAAGTTGTTGTGGCTGAAATTTCGTTCTGCAAGGATCAGTATGACAGTGTATACAGTACAGACCGAAATGTTAATGTGGCCGAAATGTGTTGTGACTCTGAAATTTATAGGCGAAGAAAATGTGTATACTTAGAGTATTGCCGTAATCACCACCACTACCTTCAACATACAGAGCTGGCCGTAATCACCACCACTACCTTCAACATACAGAGCTGGCCGTAATCACCACCACTACCTTCAACATACAGAGCTGGCCGAAATCACCACCACTACCTTCAACATACAGAGCTGGCCGTAATCACCACCACTACCTTCAACATACAGAGCTGGCCGTAATCACCCACAGACAATACTGGTATCCGCAACATGTAATGCTCCGACCCATCCCATATCCTAGAGCAAACCCTAACCCTAAACCAACCCCTGTTCCGCCCCAGTTTGTTACACCACCACAGTACCTTTGCCCGCGACAAGTACTGCCAAAAATTGCCCAGCCAACACTACATACTCCGCGACCCTGTACTATCATCCGTGACAAACCCTGCCAAAAATTGCCCAGCCAACACTACATACTCCGCGACCCTGTACTATCATCCGTGACAAACTCTGCCGAAAATTGCCCAGCCAACACTATATACTCCGCGACCCTGTACTATCATCCATGACAAACCCTGCCGAAAATTGCCCAGCAAACACTATACACTCCGCGACCCAGTATTATCGTCCGTGACAAAACCTGCCAAAAATTGCCCAGCCAACACTATATACTCCGCGGCCCTGTACTATCATCCGTGACAAACCCTGCCGAAAATTGCCCAGCAAACACTATACACTCCGCGACCCAGTATTATCGTCCGTGACAAACCCTGCCAAAAATTGCCCAGCCAAAACCATACTTCCAACCTAGATATGCGCAAGTTCAGCCCGCTCACATGCATGGACATAACCCGCAGCACCAAATGAACTGTAGGTCTGTAACCACCACACACATCTCAAAGGTTACTATAAATTATCAAGGCGCCTGCCCCACGTCGCCCATGCTTCTGACAGTCAACTTCGTCTCGCACCAGCTCGAAAAAAAGCTGAGCGTCGTAGGAACCGTAAACGCATAAAAACACGCATTGCAGAATTAATTACAAAGTAAACCAAGCCCACCACACTAGTGACAACTATAGGTGATTTTGACACCAATGAAATATCTTGCGCTGTCCTGGGACTCAGACTTAAACTCGTCCTGCATACGCACTCCCGCAATCTGGGTAGGCGCAACTCAATCCAGGTTTAGGCATGGCCCGAGCACAACAGAAGTGGTCTGTATGCAGCGCTGGATTGCGTCTAAGATTGCGTAGCGCTACAACTGGGAATGCCACATGCTGGGGATTGACACACACACTCACGCACGCACGAACGTACGCACACACACATGTGCAAGATGTGTGTGATCGTGATCGTTGGAATTACAATACTACTCACCCTTCGCTCATAAGAAGCAGCATCTGCCTCTGTTAGCACCCCGGCACTAACACCACCCCGTCTTTCTCGCTGCTGAGGATCTTGTGCACGTAATGATGACATGGCTGCTTGATTGTTCGTTTCCTTGTGGGAACCTGCATAATATTACACAACAGCGCCAGCAGCAACGGCAGCAGGAGCAGCAGCAACAGCAACAGCAATGGCAGCAGCAGCAACAGCGGCAGCGACAGCACCAGAAGAAGGAGCAACAAAACAATCTTAAAGGTACAGTGCCCAGACAGCAATGCATATCATTCCAGTGTACTCCATCTCTGGAGCGGCTAGCTGTTTTGCTCACAAGTGATATATATGTATACATGGCATCTGATGTTTTTCTTTATTGTTTTTTTCTCACCCTGGCTTCCTGATTCAGGTTTTGATACTCACCTGTATCCCTGCCCTCCCACCCTTCATTTCCATTCATCTTGACCTTACTTTTTACAAGTAGGCACCAAACAAGCAGAGCAGTTTAGCTTGCACCAGTTTCTTTACATCAAAACAAAATACATTGAGAAGAAGAAGATAATTGGTCAGCGATTGAGTTTATTTTCAAAAATTGAAGTGAAATGCCCAACAGCACAAGATTCCAAAGTAGAAGTCTGTGATTGATAACCTTTTTTCAAGGCTTCAAAGGCCCAGGCCTACCGAAGACCTGATGCTTACCAAGACTGGAAAGCCTGGTACTCAGCTGAAGAGCACTCCCATCTATTTATTTTCTGGAAGATCAGCGTAAACTCTGGTGGAACAAAATCTCTCTGTACACTACGTACATCTTCATCAAAAATGTTGAATAGTCGATCTCAGAAATTCTCAAGTGAATTTCAACAGCTTGCATTCAGAGTGAGGACTTTCAGATCATGATGGCAAATTGCACAGACCACGGATTATGTACAACTTTCAAATCCGGGGACGAAATACACATCATTCCGGGTACTATGATCTTGTGTCGTCTCCCTGGCCTAGATGATACGACACCCTCGGCTAACCAAACCCTTAGATAAGTTTAAGAGCAGAATGCAAGTGATTATGCGTTCTACTCCACCAAAACAAGGGTGCTTAACCCTTTGTGTACCAGGCCCATCTCGAACCGTAACGTACGTTACGGTTCGACGCGCCGCACTGCGACGCGCCGTTCAGCGGCGCCCTTGCTTCGATCTACTCGCGGCTTGTTGGGCTAGACAGCTGAGATCCCACTGCAAATTTTGATGTGTGATGTGGGTAGGTTGCCATTTGAAAGTATGGAGAACGATCGCGGCGAAAAGTGCAATTTCAGCACTCTGCGATATATTTTAGCAATTTCGATCGTGTTTTCGTTCGGTTACGCTGCTTGTGTCGGGAATATAGCTTGCTCTAGCTGCTGGCGATGTCTACTAGTGATGGTGAACGCCTGGAGAGAGTTGTAGCAGCGATATAGTCTCAGGATCTGGATCGAAAATGAGAATTTCCGTTGCTGAAGCCATTGCAGTAGTCGCTTTCCAAGCAGCAGCGAGAGGGAGCGCAGCGATGGCCTGAAATAATCGAGGCAGGTGAAATTCCTCACCCAGCGACTATTCCTGGTCTTCTCAATCACCAATACCCTCGCTGGACGCAAGTAGATCAGCGAAAAGTACATATTCAAATCTGACACAATTTCAATATTTCGAAATTTTGATGCAATTGTTTGGCATCTGGCATTCACGCAATATGGCTCTTTTCCGTCCATTTCGCTATTGTTCCAGCCTGCAACTGGCGGCTATACTCTAGTGCACTGGTCTCCTGTTGCTCTGTGTGAAGAAGGGCAATGTCAGCAAGTCTATTCACGATTCCAAGTACACTGATCTAAATTGTCAGAAATACGGACAATTGACTCAAAAATAGGTATTCCAGGTATGGCCTGTATGTGTAGTTGTGTGCTCGGTCAACATATTTTCTTACCTGGACACAATGATACCAACAGATTCAGAAAAAAACATAACTTGCACATATAAAATGTGTCTTAGTTTCATGCTATAGGTCCATCATTACCGATGAGTACCTCGCGTATACATTGGATGCCTGGTACACAAAGGGTTAACATCACATGGTAGAGCAATCATAGAAAGCAACAGCTACCTAATAATCTCTTGGAGCAGGATGCTCCGAGTCGTAACTTACTATCCTCTTTCCCTCTTCTCTCTCTCTCTCTCTCTCTCTCTCTCTCTCTCTCTCTCTCTCCCTCCCTCCCTCCCTCCCTCCCTCCCTCCCTCTCTCTCTCTCTCTCTCTCTCTCTCTCTCTCTCTCTCTCTCTCTCTCTCTCTCTCTCTCTCTCTCTGCGTGCATGCGTGCACGCATATGTGTGTGCGCATGTGTGCATGTGCGCGCATGACAGTGGCGGATCCAGGACTTGGCCGAAGAGGGGCCCAAGGTATCCACCCCCCCCCCCCCCCAAAAAAACAAAACAACAAAATTAATTATTATTATTATTATTCACACATATCCGCCGGATGAGTACGCGTGGCCCATGCACCATGGGGACCCACGAATACAAACCAGCATATGTTCCCTCAGCAATACAAGCAAGCAAGCACGCAAAGATAAATGAGAGCCCAGGCAGCGAAAACAAAACGAAGAGAGATGAGGACATAGGCAACGAAAACAATTCCAAAGCATAGCCAGGGATTGAATGTGTGCATCTGGGTACGACAGTTAACACGGCTAGTGCAGCCGTACAGAGCGCAGCAGCATGTAAATACAAAAGCGCCACAGCAGCAGCAGCCAAGAGTGTGCAAACACTAAAAAAGAAGATCAGTCCATGAAAAAATTATTGTCGCCACAGGTAGACATCTCCGGCAAGAATGCATGCGTGCGCACAAGTAGGCAGGTAAGCATGTCAGATGTAATCGTATTATTATGGCCAGGCTAATTAACAGTGCTGTTTCGCAATGAATTCCATCGGCATTTATCATACGCCACCTTCCGAAGCTGGGCTAGGCCAGGTCGCGACAGAAGCACAAGCCCCAGCTTCTCCCGACAATCCAGTGAGAGAGTGGTTAGCAGTGTTGTTCTTGGTCTGCCTATCCTTCCCCGCAAGGCACCAGAAGCAGCAAAATCGAGAGCGACCTGTGGCGGTGCCCCTGATGGCATCCGGAGCACATGCCCCAGGAAGCTCCATCGCCTCGCCGCGATCTCCTTGGAGATGGGTTGGGTGCGACAGCGGTTGTAGAGTTCCGTGTTTAAAATTATTAATACAACAACAAAGTCCTGAAGTTGTGAAGAGCTATTGTATTTAGGGTCCGGCGGATTCTGCCGGCAGAAAAATTGGCAGAATTCGGTACTTTTTCTGGTAAGTAAGTTTCATGCATGTTTGGTATGTGGATAACAAAATGGAGCAGAATTCGAGGAATTGCCCGCCATAAGGTTTGTATGGTTCTGCCAATTTCACTGCTTTTCGAGCAGAATATGCCACCTTTTCGAGCAGAATCCGCCGGTCCCTAGTTTTATTCCATTCTCACGACATTTTCAAACTGCATCGGAACATTTCCACTCGACAGCGGCCGCGACGGACCTTTGGACGGCTCTTCAACGCGAGCTCTCTTATCTACCGGTCCACTGAAGAACGACCTTATGTCAGACGCTTTCCTCTTCATCGCATATCTGAAGGTAACCCGTTGGCTACAAGCGAAGTAGAGAGCTAGAGAGCGTTTAGTTTCTGACAAGTGAAAAAGAAAAAAGGAAGGACGAAGTCGACAGCACCGTGCACTATACAGGACTTCAGCCCAACGCGATCGCTGCACTATGTACCAGGCCCTGCATTTTTGGCACGTTTTTCACATGTTTGAAGTGCGGCCGTGTCCTCAGGTCGCAGTGCGTACAGTAGTTGTACACAGCGCGCTGACTAGTACAGTGCGCGACACCGGACACGTATAAAAGTACCCAGCACGCGAGACCCACTTGATACGCCAAGTCATTTCGAGCGCTCATTCTACAGTCTACTGTAATCCTAGACCAAGGTCGATATTTTCAAAGGGGGGGCCCAGGCCCCCCTGCCCCCCCCCCCCCCCCCCCTGGATCCGCCACTGCATGTGTGTGTGTATGTGCGTGCGCATGTGTGTGTGTGTATGTGCATGTATGTGTGTGTGCAGGTGTGTGTGTGTGTCCATGTGTGTGCATGTGTGTGTGCATGTGTGTGTGTGGGGGGGGGGGGTATGCGTACGTACGTGCGTGTGTGGCAGAAGCACATTCACATGTCTTGCAGGGTATGTACATGTCTTGCAGGGTGTGTACTGCTACCAAGGGTACATAATCAAGTGTGTCCAACTCGACGATCCCCCAGTCCACGGGGGAATTTTTTATGACATCAGTCTTTGGCGGCTGTTTGGCTCACTGATGCCATCATGCGTAGCCAGAGATCAAAGTACAAAGAATTTGTACATCACAGCTACGGTAGTTGAAGCAGAACAACGGACGATAGATCGATATGTTCTGAACCCGATGAACTCTCACTGTATCGACAAAACAAGCGCGGAAAGTATACGCACTTGATTATACTTCTCAGTAACTTCTGCCAAAGAATGACGCAATAAAAAAATTCCGCCGTGGGTGAACCCATCGCAGCTCGAGATAGGAGTTGCACACTCTTGGTCATGTACTCACACTCTTGGTTATGTACTCTTGCCGCCGCTACTAGTGTACGTGTGTGGAGTAGCTGTCTGTTGTTGTTGTTGTTGTTGAACATTCAACTAAGACTAGCGATATATTCAAGTATTCAAGTGAAGCTAACCTGAAATAGATGCTGCCAATCCTCCTCCTGCTCCACCACCTGCCGCTAATGCTGATGCTGCTGAAGACATATCCCGGTGGGCTTGCGGCGTCGAGACACCAGGTGCGCCATCATACAAATGGCCGTTGCTTATCTACACAAGAAAATCAACAAAACAGAATGGACCACAAACAGAAACGAACAATTTGATGCACATGAAGCATTCCTAAGCAGTATATTCGAATTGATGCGCAATCAAAATTAGCCAAGTGTGACTTCCGTATACTTCGGCATGACTGCAAATACAAAATGACATATAGTCACTAGACTATGCCCATCTTGCCCAGTAGAGCACATCATCAGGCACAATAGGGTGTCATAGTACATTTGAGACCAGGGGAAGAAGATGACGATGTCCACTAATTCAATATCTGTGCACACAAATATGTTGCGTGTGTTTGACTTTGTGTGTCAGCTATGAAATCAAACTTTGTGGTTTCATGCCCAGCATGCGGCTCATAAATACCCTGCAAAGTTTGAGTGCTGTAAGCCAGTACCACTCCAGCAAAAGACAGAGACTTTGGAGCAGGGCCGGCTAGAGTGTGCGAATATTGGTGCACTGCGTGAGAGTGGGTCACTATTGTCCAGATTTAGGAGGGAAAAACAGATTTAGGAGGGAAAAACAGATTTAGGAGGGAAAAACTCTACGTCCAATAGTTGTACATTCAAACATCTCTTATCCAGGGGACAGGGGACCGGGCACAGAATGTCTTATCCAGGGGACAGGGGACCGGGCACAGAATGTCTTATCCAGGGGACAGGGGACCGGGCACAGAATGTCTTATCCAGGGGACAGGGGACCGGGCACAGAATGTCTTATCCAGGGGACAGGGGACCGGGCACAGAATGTCTTATCCAGGGGACAGGGGACCGGGCACAGAATGTCTTATCCAGGGGACAGGGGACCGGGCACAGAATGTCTTATCCAGGGGACAGGGGACCGGGCACAGAATGTCTTATCCAGGGGACAGGGGACCGGGCACAGAATGTCTTATCCAGGGGACAGGGGACCGGGCACAGAATGTCTTATCCAGGGGACAGGGGACCGGGCACAGAATGTCTTATCCAGGGGACAGGGGACCGGGCACAGAATGTCTTATCCAGGGGACAGGGGACCGGGCACAGAATGTCTTATCCAGGGGACAGGGGACCGGGCACAGAATGTCTTATCCAGGGGACAGGGGACCGGGCACAGAATGTCTTATCCAGGGGACAGGGGACCGGGCACAGAATGTCTTATCCAGGGGACAGGGGACCGGGCACAGAATGTCTTATCCAGGGGACAGGGGACCGGGCACAGAATGTCTTATCCAGGGGACAGGGGACCGGGCACAGAATGTCTTATCCAGGGGACAGGGGACCGGGCACAGAATGTCTTATCCAGGGGACAGGGGACCGGGCACAGAATGTCTTATCCAGGGGACAGGGGACCGGGCACAGAATGTCTTATCCAGGGGACAGGGGACCGGGCACAGAATGTCTTATCCAGGGGACAGGGGACCGGGCACAGAATGTCTTATCCAGGGGACAGGGGACCGGGCACAGAATGTCTTATCCAGGGGACAGGGGACCGGGCACAGAATGTCTTATCCAGGGGACAGGGGACCGGGCACAGAATGTCTTATCCAGGGGACAGGGGACCGGGCACAGAATGTCTTATCCAGGGGACAGGGGACCGGGCACAGAATGTCTTATCCAGGGGACAGGGGACCGGGCACAGAATGTATCTCAGATTCGACTGTATGTCAGGACAGCTCATCTACCATGTACTCATAGTGAATAGTGCCCTATCTCAAATAGTGCCGAGTCACTAAGAGCCAGTGAAAAAATAAAGCCCTCTCTTGAATAGTGCCTCACCCCTCGGGCTTGAAGCCAAGTGCATGTGCAAGTTTAGTGTTCTTTTTGCTAAGTTTTGGTTTTGTTATTGCACATGTCATTGAACTGGTGATTTCAGAAACAAAATCGCAGTTCTTGGTAGTCATGGTAGCTTACAGTACACTTTAGGCCCTGCTTTTCTTTGCCTTCTCTCTGTTTTTCTTTGCCTTCTCTCTGTTTTTCTTTGCCTTCTCTGTTTTATGCTGGATGACGTAAAAGTGCCAGCATTGAAATAGTGCCCGCATTGAAATAGTGCCCTCTCTTGAATAGTGCCTTATCTTTGATGGACATTGAAAAGAACAGTGCCCCAGGGTAGGCACTTATCGCGCGAGCACGGATCACTTTTGAAAAGGTTGATTTAGCACGTATTGCACATGTTCTGAATAAAAAAGAATCCATTGATGAAAATTTGTGGACTACACAGGTTGGCAGTCAGAACTTGCACATACAAAAAATACCCCCCCCCCCCCCCCAATCGAAGCACTTTCGGCATAGTAACTCAAGCTGAAGTTGCCTGGTACACAGACATGCGGATATGAGACACATCAGTGTACATTCAAGCTACATGTGTGTTTCAATGGGTTTCATGCTGGGGTGGGGGGCAGCTTTGCTAATTACCAGTAATGCCTCTTCAATGTCCTGCTGATTTTCATGCAGCAACGCGAGTTTCCAAGAGGGATGCCAACTCAATACCCAGGTCACATCATGTCATACGTAATGGTCCAGCTCACAATGTCCAGAGACAAGCTGCGCACCCGAGGTAGCCCTCCACATGCAACGCATACACCCCATATCTCTTTGTTACTCAGGAGACTAGGCTGGATAGATTGTTTAACCGAGCTGTCCTTGCTGTTTGTAAGGCTCCCCCTTAGTCCCCTATGGCAGAGCTGCTCACATGCACTGCCATTTATCCCCTTAGGTTTTATGTGCAGCAGCGCGTACTATGCTTAATCTGGCGCTGCCTTCACGATGCCTCGAGCCGACTATTTAAAAGTTTCCTCTCCACAGTTCCATCCCGGAGAACGCGGGGTGATAGTAGAAACTTGCTCCTTATTCCGGCAGCTATTACTACTCACTCGGCCTTATTCCGCCAGCCATTACTACTCACTCGGCCCTATTCCGCCAGCCATTACTACTCACTCGGCCTTATTCCGCCAGCCATTACTACTCACTCGGCGAAGCGCATAACGCATGCAGGTGGTGTGCCAAGAAATGCTCGGCCTCCGGAAATTAGATGCATTGCAAGTTCGCCGGTTTTCAAGCCCAATGCCATGAACCATATATCATAAAGTTAACTATGACCTGGTCCATTGATGCTCTTGTTAATATCTCGTACTTTTCTTTCCTTCCACGACTTCTCCCCCACCCCCCCCCCCCCCCCTCTCCCTCTCTCACTATTGTTTTACCCAAGTGGCCCAGTGTCATTAGGCTTTAGCCTGTTGTGGATTTACAACTATAAATAAAGAACAAAACACACAATCCTACAAAATAATTGTAATATCTATGTTCCGGCCCGTCCGTCGATTCTGCCCATCTTGGGTGGGGGCGGGGGGGGGGGGGGGATGCCGATCTTAGGATCAGATTGGGTTTGATCAATGGAGATCCCGCGCGCGGGCCTTTTTTCACGTGGAATTTGTTTTTTTCATTTTCCCTTGTGTAAATTAAAAACGTGCTTTTATAAATTTATATATTAATGTGCGTTTATATTATTATATTAGTGCATCTCAAGTCAATCGATCCGAGAACGGGCCACCTCAGTGCCCATCCTAGGATGGGCATTAGCCATTTTGCCCATCTTAGGATGGCCAAAATCCTTGGACGTGACGGATCAACTACACCGTTGGCCCCTTCAAACACAGTATTGCACACAGAGTTTCTAAGTTTGCTATGTCAAGACATGGGAAAGAACACAATAGTACTACTCATTCTTATTTCCTGCACAGTACGAAATTGTATTATCTTACCTGGTCCAAATTGCTGAAATACTGAGCAAGAAATGCATTCACGTTCTCTGGTCGTTCACAGCTCAAAGCCGTCGTAGCGCCTTCTAGTATCTCCTGCACGTCATTATCCGCTAAGTACTGTTGCCTTGCAGCTAACTCGACCTCTTCCAGAGACGCCATGCTGCAAAAGTCTACGGTAACACTTTCTCAAAATAAATATACAAATCTCTGACCGTCTAGTACTCTATTTCTTCAGTTCCAGGGCTTGGGCACGTCAGACCGTCAAGCGCACCCAGCGCTGTGTCTGCTGAGTCTAGGGCAAGTAGGGTAAGACTACGCTGCGCACCCGACCACCTGCGGAACGGTTGTTGTATCTCAGACGTAGCTAGCTTGAAGCGGCCTGATTGCTGCCAGAAATAAATGTAAATAATTACAAAGTTTGAATGACTTGGAGAGTTGGCGTTCTCTGCCAGTGGTCCTCGCTGCTGCTGCTGCTGACTGGCACCGATATGTGACAAGTAGTTCGCTACCTGGCTTGACTCGAGGCTTCAGCCTTCACTGGCTTCAGCGACTACACTTCTACAGTGAGTAGATCTAGTACGGGCTGCTTGCGCCCCTGACAACTACTTCCAAGCACTTTCTGTGTACGGCGTATGGCACTATTCTGACCAAGAACATCCAGCTGGGGCTGCAACAAGCACTAGTTGCACTGCTCAGATCAGGTGACGTTGACAGGTCGCAGGACTAACTAGGCCTACCCTACAGTTGACGAGTTGTAGTAGGAGAAGTGCCAGCATGCGGAAACACTGAGCCTGGAAATACGGCGATTGTTGTATACCCTTTTCCAACTCCGCACTGCCCTCAAATAACAGGCGGCCTCTTCCCAGGGACAACTGCTATATCGTCGTATCGACACTCACAACAATGTTACATTCTCAAGCTCCCCAAGTTCACTTGCAGCACTACTAGTACTACTATCATGGTCTGCGCTAAAACGGTCGTTGAAGTGAAACAAGCACGCAGCGCAGCTCGTGACTTTGCACTCCTTGAAAATATTATTTCTTACATGATTGTGGCATGGCAGCGCATGCACTCCTGCCTGGTGCCATGCGCCCCGCAGTGCATCATGTACAGACATGGGCATGGGCATGCAGCATGGTAGATCCACTCTGGAACGCGATTTCGATTGATCAAGTGCACGTACACGACAAATGCGTGTACAAAAATGTCAAAACCTCTGAACGCAGCTCGCGCGGAACGCGGACATGCCAACGGAGGGATGACGAAGGGATGTTCCGCGCGAGCTGCGTTCATAATCAGAGTTTTTGACATTTTTGTACACGCATTGTCGTGTATCGTGCACTTGATCAATCGAAATCGCGTTCCAGAGACAGTCTGAGTACCGTATTATCTCTAATATAAGCACGGTCCTTTATTTTTTCAATGTACATGTACCTCCGCCCCGAGACGTTCCTTTATTGGAGACTGTTCCATTATTATTTCAACCTCATTTCAGAGGCATGTTGCCATGCCAGACACACACATTTCAGGGTTTTTTTCGCCGACACAGATAATGAATTTACACAGTGTGCTTATAATGGAGACTGATATCAAAAAGTATTCTTTCTAGACCAAAGAGTGGTATATTTGATAACATTTAATAACGATAGAAATTTTTACGATACTTCTCCAGACGTTTCGTTGTTCTGAACAACATCGTCAGTGGATCGTATCCACTGACGATGTTGTTCAGAACAACGAAACGTCTGGAGAAGTATCGTAAAAATTTCTATCGTTATTAAATGTTATCAAATATACCACTCTTTGGTCTAGAAAGAATACTTTTTGATATTACAATGAGAGTGAATAATCAACGGCTTGTCCACCAACACTAATGGAGACTGAGCTGATGAGCACTTTATTTTTTGAATGCCGCCCCAAGGTGTTCTATTATTATTGGAGACGTGCTATTATCATGATTATTGGAGACTGTGCTTATTGTGCGGGAAGCCTGTAGATCTACAATACATAGATCTACACGTCGTACAATCTACAGAGAGCGAAGTACTCCGGTAGATCTACATACGGACAGTAGTCAGTACTAAACAGTAGCGTCTACTCATATCATACTCATACTGAGTCATAGATCAACACTGTACTGGTACTTTTTTTTTTTTTTTAGTGGTAGACTGCACTGACTGAGTGTCGTCTGTGCATGACATGATAGTGTAAGTCTACAATCATAATTATACCAGATATACATGTAGTAGGTATATATTACAGTGTACTAGTACACTAGAACTTAGAAGTGGAATGCACTATATTACTAGTGCACTAGGCACCTGCGGATAATGCTGGTTACATGTACATGTACACTGTACGTGTATGTGAAAAAAATAGTCAATATTTTCTTCAGACTTTTCCCGTTTGTGTCTTTCCCTCAAACTAGTCAAAATAAATAATAATAAATTTAATTGTAAATAGGCGTCGAGGCGACAATAGTTTTAGAATTGCGATCAACAGAACGGGCTGAACCGACATTTCACAAAGGCTTTTATTGTATTCAAAAAACGAGTGGATACGAAGGCAGTGAAAAACATGGAAGAAAGAAAAAATGTGATTCTTTTTCTGTTTTGTGCCGTGCTCGTCATGGTTATAAGTTGCAGGTGAGTGTGTTAGAAGCTGTTTGTCAACGTATTCATAAGCCTAATTTGTGTGTCCAGAAGGACAGCATTATTCGTTTGAAATTGTTCTAGTAGCAGCTTGTTCTGTCTGTTTGGCCCTGGTTGGCCATGGTGTCATATCTTGTGTCACAGTATACTAGTAGTCTTTACAAGTTCGTTATGTGGTTTCGCAGTTTTTCCTGTTATTACCTTAGTGCTAGGAATATCATTTTCATAGGTGTTGTTTCTTCTCACTCCATTTCTCTTTATTAGTATCTTTCTGGATTGTTTTTCATTAGTACAACGTAGCTTCCTGAGGAGTGTTGTGCGAAAACTAGTTCGAAGTACGATTTTTTGTTCATCATTTTCTCCATATCACATTTTTCTTTCTTCCGTGTTTTTCACTGCCTTCGTATCCACTCGTTTTTTGAATACAATAAAAGCCTTTGTGAAATGTCGGTTCAGCTCGTTCTGTTGATCGCAATTCTAAAATTTAACTGTGCTACTAGCACTGCTACATAGTTATTTGGAGCGATTATGCTAGTTATAATACTAGCAGTGCTGATAGTGATAGTGCTACAAAATGGCAATCCTTGCGGTGGGAAATAATTAGGGCTCAAACGGTCACGGTTTTAGCACTGACGGTTAACTGCTAAGCTAACGGTCGGTTAACTGGTTATAACCTATAAGCCACGGCAATCCTGCGGACTCTTTTTTAACCGTATACATGTATTTGACTATACTCATTCAAAAAATGTACCCTATTCAGTACAACGCACACTTGTACATTCTCTTGCATGCTCATTCATACATACTCTCACACCAAGAGACCAGATATGACCGAGTTGACAGCCCAGAAATTGCGTACGCGTGCGACAGCCCGCGAAAGTGCACACTTTGCAACGACCTGATACTTGAAAAATTGACTGAAAAGTTACTGCGTAACCGTTATCTTTATCGGTTAACCGTTAATTCTTCGTAACCGGTCTGCAACCGGTTAATCGGACAAACCGTTTGAGCCCTAGAAATAATGACTTCCCTACGCAGTACGCAGTCACTCGGAATATGGCAGTACATGTATCACAGGGCGGACACGGTGCAAAAATGTTTACACTTTCATTACATCAGTACAGAGGGCTCAGGGCTGACAGTGCCAGCGTCGCAGGGAGCAGCAGTGTGTCTCTCTGCGCTCTAACGTTACAATAGTGCTACTTTTCACGGCGGAGCCAACGGACTGGACGTAGTGCTAGTTTCACACATCGATTGTGCTAGTTGGGTTCTTTTCTTGAACTTTGGGTTCTTTTCATTTGCTTTGAGTTCTTTTCATTTGCTTTGAGTTCTTTACATTTTAAAATTGTTTTGGGTTTTTAGTTGCATTTCTATTATTGATCAAGATGGTATTTTTGCCCGTACAAGAGCTATTAGACAAGGTCACATATTTGTAGGGCAATACTGGTCTTCCCCACTAGGGTCATAAGGCTAGTTATTATGCTAGCATTATCCGCCGGTGCCTAAGTCCTTCACGACTCCGGCTCCCTGCCCTAGGCGCACTATCTCACTACCTGTCTCAAGTCAATACTTCTGTCGAGTACTGGCGCCGACGGAATGTCGAATATGCGTCGTTTGAACCTGTGGTCATGACGGTGTCAGGTGGTTTTGGGCGTTCGGCAACCAGCCTGTATAAGAGAATCGCATCGCTGCTGCCTGACAGACGTAATGAACCATATTCACATATCATGGCATTTGTCAGGTGCCGCATTTCCTTTGCATGTACATGTATACATACTATTACATAGTGATAGTGTACCTTAGAGGGTCTATAACACTATCTGGAAAATATCAACAAAGAATTGATCAACAAGAGCCTCCCGCCACGCTGGCGGTTTCAGAGGCAGCTATTGCTGTTTACTATTACCTTTTCTGTATTCCTGGAGTACATCATGTCTGACGCTTTGGAGGAGTTTGATGGGTCAGTATGTATCGGCGGCATGTACGTGACCAACATACGTTTTGCGGATGATATAGATCTAATCGCATCGTCTGTGGAAGAGCTGATGGACCTGACCGAGCGCGTGGATACGAGTGCAACAAGACTAGGCATGCAGATCAATGCTTCCAAGACCAAGTCAATGGCAGCGCCGGAGGGCGGTGGTGATCTGGGGTGCATTCAAGTAGGCAATGAGCGAATAGAAGAGGTATCCCAGTTTAAATACTTAGGTGCCGTAATCACGTCGGATGGCAAGTCCGATGTGGAGATAAGAAGACGCTTAGCACTAGAGAAGCAAAAGATCATTGAGCTTCAATTCATTTGGAAATCGCCATCACTTTCTTTGTCTACTAAATTTCGTTTTGTGAGGTCTATTGTGCTAGCGACTGTTTTATACGGATGCCAATCTTGGACATTATCTGCCTCATCAATGAGAAGAATTTCATCCTTCGAGATGAAATGCTTCCACCGACTCTTAGGAGTAACATACCACGACCGGCGTACCAACCAATCTATCCTGGAAGAAATCAATGACATCATCGGAGCAAGGATGCGGCTAGCGAACGAAGTCAAGAAATTTAATTAAGTTGATGTGGTTTGGCCATGTTACGAGACATGACGTTTTCTCCAAGCCCTTCCTGCAAGGATCAACTCCTGGATCTCGACCGAGAGGAAGGCCCGCGACATCATGGATTTCTAACATTAAAAGTTGGACGGGTCTTCCCTTGCATGCTCTCTCTCATGCAGCACACGATAGAGTTGGATTCAGAGACATCATTCACAATTCTCTCGCTGATTAATGCCTCTACGATCAATGTAGTTATGCTCTTACCTCCGGAAGGATGCCAAATTATGCTCCAAATTTTCAAGCACCAAATTATGCCAATAATTATTATGATTATGCCGGCATAATCCGCCGGTGCCTAGTAGTAGATCTACTCGGTACTAGTAGTAGTAGTAGCTAGTAGGTACCGGTGGTAGATCATTCTGCCGTGCAAATCTACTCGTACAATAATCATGATAATAGGTGTACGTCATAATCACCTCGCGCTCCTAGAACTTAGTAGAAGATCTAACACAAGTGCACGGTATCAGTATTCGCGCTTTTTTTATTACTATGCACAGTCAGACTCACACAGTCATCACAGTGACGTGGACTGCTGAAATAACAGTTGGGTCAAACTATCACTGTATTACTAGTATTAGATTGCGGTAGAATCTACAGATTGAAAGGTAGATCCAGATCGTTCGGTTTCTAAACTGCCGCCCGGAGTGGCTTAGTTCACTTTCGCCATGCAGTGCTTCAGATGTATTCGTGCAATACCAGCGCAAAACTGAGCAATAGATTTAGCTTCCTCTGAGTAGTCGCCGTTGGTAAAGACTGGTCGAATAGTCGTGACTCGTCATTCAACCACTTTTGAAACAGTATCATCGATCATTCCCAAACATTGTCAATTGGTCAAATAGTAGCGGTGGTCCGTACCACGAACCTACCACCGACCTTCACGGTGGTTTTCACGGACGGAGGAAAAGACGACCCAAGAGCTACGTGGTTTTACCAACCAAACACAACTAAAGAAGTAAAGGCGTGAGGTAAGGTCTCTGAACAGTGCTCTATCATTACTAGTCTTGCTGACCTAGTGGCAGTGCGTGTGACACGACGTGATATCGAGCCATTCGCCATTCTCATCGCTGTCCCAGATTGTTTTCTGCCTGCAATAGGAAAACATAGTCCCCATTCAAACATTACTAGCATGCGGACATTTGTAGGACAGACTACAGTATTACCCTGTACACTGACTGTCAGCCGGACACCCCTGCTGGCTGGCATCACACATCCTGCACAGTCAGTAAAACTATGTTACACAACTGTAATAGTTACTTCATGATAGGATTAGATAGCCAACACCCCTGGGATCACATGTGTGTCAGTGAGTGTGTGGGTGTGTGTGTGTACATGGTGTGTGCATGTGTGTGTGGTATGTGTGTGTGGTGTGTGTGTGTGTGTGTGTGTGTGTGTGTGTGTGTGTGTGTGTGTGTGTGTGTGTGTTTGTGTCCCATATGGTGCAGCGGTATGTGCAGCGATTTCCAATAGATAGGTTGCGGGTTTGATTCCCGACAATTATGGTCAAACGCGTCTTCTCTTTCTCCGACTCTTCCTGACTTTCCTTTAATTCTCCTGGGTGGTTACCAACAGCCAGTGCATGGCGGAGTATGTGGTGTGATGTGTGTGCGGGGAAAAAAATGAAAAAGACCAAAAAGTAGAGATTCACTGGCCAGAAAAAGCCACTTCATAGCTTTGTGGTGTAGACCAGGCTGAATAGTGGCGGTCAATTCTTCAGCCTTGCAAGCTGTTGAATGGTGCAATCCCAGCAAAAGTTGCTATGGCTCCTGCTGTAGTATCACTATCATCGCCTCTGGCGATGGGCGTCCAATGGTCCAATGGTGTGTGTGTGTGTGTGTGTGTGTGCGTGCGTGCGCGCGCGTGCGTGTGTGCAGGGGCGTAGCACCCGCTACGACTGGTAAGACCATGGCCGTACCACTTTTCGAAAAGTGTGGTCCGTCTGGAACGTGCAAAACCGTAATAAAAAAAAATTTGGATCCATCGATGCATATGCGCATATTAGACTTTGACCTTTTTCTAGACTCGTACTCGTTATCTGCAGTTGTACTGGGTACTGTACTCGACTCGACTGCACACTGCACGCGCCAGAAGTTTGCCAGAAGTTCCCAGAACGTAGGATTTTGTGTCTTTTTTACAAAATTTTCACGGGGGAGGTCCCCCGGACCTCCTCCAACACGGCCTTTGGCCGCACCGACCTTCGGTCGTACCACTTCCGAAACCCCTCCTACGCCCCTGGTGTGTGTGTGTGTGTGTGTGTGTGTGGCTGTGTACAAATTTGTACACAGCCTGTGTTCTGTCGGTTTTACTCTACGGTGCTGAGTCATGGGCTCCGCTTCGGCACGACTTGGATCGGCTGGATAACTTTCACCACCGGTGCATTCGCTCCGTCTTATGTGTATCTCGGCGTCAGCAATGGGAGGAGAAAATCTCTTCGGCAATGCTCCGTGCGCGCTGGGGTGACACTACACCGGTGTCAGACCTTGTTCAGCGTCGGCGGTTGGAATGGCTCGGGCACGTCGCGCGCATGCCTGCAGACCGTGCTCCCGTCCAGATTTTGTTTGGAAGGTTGAGTGGTCGTCGCCCTCCTTGTGGTCCCCGGCGGCGCTGGAAAGACGTTGTCCAGAGAGACATGAAGGCAGCTGGCGTGGATTCCTGGTTTCAGAATGCCCAAGACCGGCAGAACTGGAGGATGTTCCTTGCTGAGCCACCACCGCACACAGATGATTCACCACCTTTGCGCTGCTTGCTGTGTGCCAGAGACTTCCGCCGCCGTAACGACATGGCCCGACACAAGTGCATTGCCCAGCGGAAGTTGCCTGTGTCACAACAGAAGGGTGCCAGGCAATGTATGAAGTGCATGCGGTGGTTGAGGAGCGCTGGAGGACTGGCTGTGCATCGCTGTCCTGTGTCCACGGATGTCCCCACTGTATCTATCCGCCATGAATCTGACTCTTTTCGATGTGATGTTTGTCGCCGATCCTTCCGCTCCCGTTCTGGTTTGAGCCGTCATCACTGTGACCGTGCGAAACGGATGTCACGTGCAGCCAGGAACAACTGCCGTCATGAATGCGAGCATTGCGAAAGACGGTTTTCAAGGCCACAGGACTTGCAACGCCATGCCAAATATTGTTGACTTTGCGATTTCTCTCTCTTCTCTTCTCTCTTCTTGTCGTTGTCTCCCGCTTCTGGGAGCGGCGTGGCCCGATAGGGTAGCTGTACATAGTAGTAGTGTGTGTGGTGTGTGTGCTGTGTCCATGTATATGCTGAGTGGTGCCCGTCTATTATATTATGCCACCCGTATGACCACATCTTTTTCCTGCTGTACATATAACTATTTTCCAGTTCCAAGCACTCCTTCCCAATAGTGAGTATAACCTGCCCTGCACGACCTTGGTGCAGTGGAAATTGTCCTGGTAAGACAGAATTCCGCTTGCTCCAGGGATCCATGTTCAACCCACAGCGCTTTGGGGCATGGAAATTTCACCCGTCAGTACAGGATTCCTCTTGACGCAGGCCAGCAGCCTGAACAGGGTCCGGCAAACACAGCTTTTACTGTATAGTCTGGGAAGTATACCCTAAAATCAAATTTTCACCAGTTGTAGTCTTCGGGGTGCTGAGTCGAATGGTCTTGGTCCGAGGAAGCTGAGACGCTCCCTTTCTCCTTTATTCCCAATCGAAAAGCACGGATGACCGCCATTGGCCCATATGTTGTAGTCTTTTGGACGCTGAGTCGACTGGTTTTGGTCCGAAAAGGCTGCGATGCAGCGTTCCTCCTTTATTCCCAATCGAACATGGTTGAACAAGCGGTCACGTGCTCCTGCGTACACCAGTCACCTGGTCACCACGCCTGCAGGGTACAACTTACTAGCCTGTTTGACCTTTTTTGGGTGCAGTCCTGTCACTCGAGTTGAACTCGAGTTGAACTTTGGTGTGAAAGTTGTCGCCTGCTGGCACGGTGACCAGGTGATTTGGGCACCCAGGAGCACGTGACCGCTTGTTCAACCATGTTCGATTGGGAATAAAGGAGGAACGCTGCATCGCAGCCTTTTCGGACCAAAACCAGTCGACTCAGCGTCCAAAAGACTACAACATATGGGCCAATCGCGGTCATCCGTGCTTTTATAAGAACGACATAGCACTTTTAGTGAGATTTTGCATACGAATCTCCATCTAGTAGGGCGTAGTCACCCAGTTTCGGTGGAAGTGCGCGGGTTCGATTGGGAAAAAAGAAGGAAGGGAGCGTGGCAGCTTCCTCGGACCAAGACCATTCGACTCAGCACCCAGAAGACTACAACTGGTGAAAATTTGATTTTAGGGTATACTTCCCCTAAGCATAGTAATTTTAATAATGTTTTGTCTGACCCCTAACTCAGCCTAAGCATATAATGTGTTGTCTGATCCCTAAGCATATACACCTGTACATTGTTTTATCTGATGACTGGCCCTATCATGCCATGTACTATGTTTTATCTGATGGCTGACCCTATTGCCATGTACATGTACTATGTTTTGTCTGATGGCTGACCCTATTGCCATGTACATTGTTTTGTCTGATGGCTGACCCTATTGCCATGTACATTGTTTTGTCTGATGGCTGACCCTATTGCCATGTACATTGTTTTGTCTGATGGCTGACCCTATTGCCATGTACATTGTTTTGTCTGATGGCTGACCCTATTGCCATGTACATTGTTTTGTCTGATGGCTGACCCTATTGCCATGTACATTGTTTTGTCTGATGGCTGACCCTATTGCCATGTACATTGTTTTGTCTGATGGCTGACCCTATTGCCATGTACATTGTTTTGTCTGATGGCTGACCCTATTGCCATGTACATTGTTTTGTCTGATGGCTGACCCTATTGCCATGTACATTGTTTTGTCTGATGGCTGACCCTATTGCCATGTACATTGTTTTGTCTGATGGCTGACCCTATTGCCATGTACATTGTTTTGTCTGATGGCTGACCCTATTGCCATGTACATTGTTTTGTCTGATGGCTGACCCTATTGCCATGTACATTGTTTTGTCTGATGGCTGACCCTATTGCCATGTACATTGTTTTGTCTGATGGCTGACCCTATTGCCATGTACATTGTTTTGTCTGATGGCTGACCCTATTGCCATGTACATTGTTTTGTCTGATGGCTGACCCTATTGCCATGTACATTGTTTTGTCTGATGGCTGACCCTATTGCCATGTACATTGTTTTGTCTGATGGCTGACCCTATTGCCATGTACATTGTTTTGTCTGATGGCTGACCCTATTGCCATGTACATTGTTTTGTCTGATGGCTGACCCTATTGCCATGTACATTGTTTTGTCTGATGGCTGACCCTATTGCCATGTACATTGTTTTGTCTGATGGCTGACCCTATTGCCATGTACATTGTTTTGTCTGATGGCTGACCCTATTGCCATGTACATTGTTTTGTCTGATGGCTGACCCTATTGCCATGTACATTGTTTTGTCTGATGGCTGACCCTATTGCCATGTACATTGTTTTGTCTGATGGCTGGCCCTATTGCCATGTACATTGTTTTGTCTGATGGCTGACCCTATTGCCATGTACATTGTTTTGTCTGATGGCTGACCCTATTGCCATGTACATTGTTTTGTCTGATGGCTGACCCTATTGCCATGTACATTGTTTTGTCTGATGGCTGACCCTATTGCCATGTACATTGTTTTGTCTGATGGCTGACCCTATTGCCATGTACATTGTTTTGTCTGATGGCTGACCCTATTGCCATGTACATTGTTTTGTCTGATGGCTGACCCTATTGCCATGTACATTGTTTTGTCTGATGGCTGACCCTATTGCCATGTACATTGTTTTGTCTGATGGCTGACCCTATTGCCATGTACATTGTTTTGTCTGATGGCTGACCCTATTGCCATGTACATTGTTTTGTCTGATGGCTGACCCTATTGCCATGTACATTGTTTTGTCTGATGGCTGACCCTATTGCCATGTACATTGTTTTGTCTGATGGCTGACCCTATTGCCATGTACATTGTTTTGTCTGATGGCTGACCCTATTGCCATGTACATTGTTTTGTCTGATGGCTGACCCTATTGCCATGTACATTGTTTTGTCTGATGGCTGACCCTATTGCCATGTACATTGTTTTGTCTGATGGCTGACCCTATTGCCATGTACATTGTTTTGTCTGATGGCTGACCCTATTGCCATGTACATTGTTTTGTCTGATGGCTGACCCTATTGCCATGTACATTGTTTTGTCTGATGGCTGACCCTATTGCCATGTACATTGTTTTGTCTGATGGCTGACCCTATTGCCATGTACATTGTTTTGTCTGATGGCTGACCCTATTGCCATGTACATTGTTTTGTCTGATGGCTGACCCTATTGCCATGTACATTGTTTTGTCTGATAGCTGACCCTATTGCCATGTACATTGTTTTGTCTGATGGCTGACCCTATTGCCATGTACATTGTTTTGTCTGATGGCTGACCCTATTGCCATGTACATTGTTTTGTCTGATGGCTGACCCTATTGCCATGTACATTGTTTTGTCTGATGGCTGACCCTATTGCCATGTACATTGTTTTGTCTGATGGCTGACCCTATTGCCATGTACATTGTTTTGTCTGATGGCTGACCCTATTGCCATGTACATTGTTTTGTCTGATGGCTGACCCTATTGCCATGTACATTGTTTTATCTGATGGCTGACCCTATTGCCATGTACATTGTTTTATCTGATGGCTGACCCTATTGCCATGTACATTGTTTTATCTGATGGCTGACCCTATTGCCATGTACATTGTTTTATCTGATGGCTGACCCTATTGCCATGTACATTGTTTTATCTGATGGCTGACCCTATTGCCATGTACATTGTTTTGCCTGATGGCTGACCCTATTGCCATGTACATTGTTTTGTCTGATGGCTGACCCTATTGCCATGTACATTGTTTTGTCTGATGGCTGACCCTATTGCCATGTACATTGTTTTATCTGATGGCTGACCCTATTGCCATGTACATTGTTTTATCTGATGGCTGACCCTATTGCCATGTACATTGTTTTATCTGATGGCTGACCCTATTGCCATGTACATTGTTTTATCTGATGGCTGACCCTATTGCCATGTACATTGTTTTATCTGATGGCTGACCCTATTGCCATGTACATTGTTTTGTCTGATGGCTAACCCTATTGCCATGTACATTGTTTTGTCTGATGGCTGACCCTATTGCCATGTACATTGTTTTATCTGATGGCTGACCCTATTGCCATGTACATTGTTTTATCTGATGGCTGACCCTATTGCCATGTACATTGTTTTATCTGATGGCTGACCCTATTGCCATGTACATTGTTTTGTCTGATGGCTGACCCTATTGCCATGTACATTGTTTTGTCTGATGGCTGACCCTATCGCCATGTACATTGTTTTATCTGATGGCTGACCCTATTGCCATGTACATTGTTTTGTCTGATGGCTGACCCTATTGCCATGTACATTGTTTTATCTGATGGCTGACCCTATTGCCATGTACATTGTTTTGTCTGATGGCTGACCCTATTGCCATGTACATTGTTTTGTCTGATGGCTGACCCTATTGCCATGTACATTGTTTTGTCTGATGGCTGACCCTATTGCCATGTACATTGTTTTGTCTGATGGCTGACCCTATTGCCATGTACATTGTTTTGTCTGATGGCTGACCCTATTGCCATGTACATTGTTTTGTCTGATGGCTGACCCTATTGCCATGTACATTGTTTTGTCTGATGGCTGACCCTATTGCCATGTACATTGTTTTGTCTGATGGCTGACCCTATTGCCATGTACATGTACATTGTAACTCAGAGTGACAACAAAACAAAGTTTCTGCCATTGTGAACTTGTGTGAACTTGTGTTGCAGACCTCTCTTCACGGGTTGAGCATTTTCACAAGTCAACGGCAACTCCACTTTGAACAAAGTGCATAGGCTCTGTACAATCATGCATATTGGTAGTGTACATACACTGTACAATGTAGACTGATCATCATTTGATTATTTTTTCTGCTTTTCTCCTTGCCCATTGCAGTATTCGTTGCGGATCCAGGTATCACCATGGCAACCTCTGATAGCGACAATGGTGATTGTCCTTATTGTTCATACTTGTCCAAGTTTGGTGTCGGTTCAGACTACGTGGACAGGATGGACCCGCCATGGACCATGGTACGTATACTGTACTCGCGTGATCAGTGCCCCAGGGGGGGGGGGGGGGCACTATTTTTTCAATGTCCATCACAGATGGGGCACTATTCAAGAGAGGGCACTATTCCAGAGAAGGCACTGTTTTTCAATGCTGATACTTTTGCGTTATCCAGCATAAAAACAAAGAAAAGCAGAGGCCAATGTTTAATGTAAACTATCACACCTCAACAGAAACAGCAATAAGAACTGCGATTTTGATAATGAGACCACAATGGACAAGAACATTACCAAAAGAACACCAAACCGGCACATGCCTTTGTTACAAGCCCGGGGGGGGGGGGGGGGCACTATTCAAGAGAGGGCTTTATTTTTTCACTGGCTCTTAGAGACTGGCGCACTGTTCGAGATAGGGCAGTATTCGAGAGAGGGTTCTAATCGCGCGAGTACGGTAGTTTGATACATATGGCTGGATTATTCAAGCTCCCCCCCCCCCCCCCCCCTCCAGGGTCGTGATCGAGGGGGTGCCAGGACTTTCCCACCCAAAAGTACAAGCCTTCAACCATGCAGAAACATGGATGAAACATACTTCGAAGTACCAGAAAAGTACCGAAATATACCAGTTTTTTGGACGGCATTATCCGACTGGTAATGGCTGGTACAAGCCGGAGTTGCCCTTGACTCAAAAGTTTCATTACCAAATTACCAAATTACCGAATTGCCAAATTGCCAAATCATCAGACATCCTAGTCAACGGCAGATAGGAACATGTAGATTGGTTTCAGATTCTGAAAACAAGTAGGTCTGAACTAGGATTGCTACAGTGTGCGATGTGCAGAGTTGCACATGTGGTCAGCGGTCCGTGTATCATGGTCTTCCCAGATCAAAGGTTTTCAGGGGTGCTTCGGCACACAAATCCCCTCTCTTCCCCCCCCCTCCCCCCTGCCTACACCCCTGTACCCATCAACACTGTCAGTGTTACAGACCCACCCTTATTTGTACATACCCACCCTTATTTGTACAGACCCACCCGTATTTGTACATACCCACCAATGTAACCGATAGTACATATCCACCAGCAGATCGAGTGCGTGTTATTCTAACATTTTTGGTGCTGATGCTATTGCTGTTGCTGCTGTTGCTCCTGTTGTTTTTGCTCTTGTTGTTTTGTTGCTGTTACCGTTGCTGTTGTTGACGGTGGTACCTGTGCTGCTGCTGCCGCCGACGCCGTCATCGTCATTGTCGGCATTCTTTGTTGTTCTTGTGCATGGTCTCAGGCCGAACCGTGCAGACTATGTCGTGTACAAAGGCTATCACAGGCCACGTTGCTAGCAGCCAGACAACGACAGTCAACCGGTGTTCTTCATGAGAGACAAAATGGTGAGAGAATTTAAACACTTTAAGAGCATGTATCAATGCCCCTTGGTCACTTTCATTATGACAATGTCTGGACCCGCCAGTTGTCAACCTACATGTATATAACCCGGGGATCAGGCACACAGGTAACACTACAACCTGGGTCATCACTGATCACTGATTACTGTTTAGATCTACGAATGTACTAAGAACGCACTCACACTGTGTCAAAATCTACAACTGCCGGCGATAACCCATGGCAACGCCTGGACTTTCCAAATGCAGAGCAGGCTACTGACAGAGCCCTTACACAAGTATAAATCCAATTTGATTCAGGATTACCATCCCGAAGAGCACCGTCAGCCTTCTGGCTGTCATTTGCCTGACATATTACCTAAAATACCACCAGAACACTACCTGAAATACTACCTAATACTCTACCTAAAGCCTAGTTCACATTCGACGGAACGCTGACGGTACGGGACGTAAGGGCCTGTCGGGAAGGCTGGGGTGAGCTGTAAAATCGTGTACGATTCGTACGACACGACATGCTGCAGTCGTTGCGTCGTTCAACAGCGAACGGCGTCAGTCATAAGCCACGGTCCGTGACGAGGTGGCTTTTGGACCTAATTTCTTGCTTTCGAGACTTCTTTTCAATTATTTCTCCTTGAATGAAGCGGAATCAAGTTCATAATACCAGCTTTTCATGAACACCAAAAAAGTAGCTTCGAGAGCTTACGTCGCGTCCTGTCGCGCCCCGTCGAATGTGAACTAGGCTTAACATACCACCTAATACTCTACCCAATACTCTACCCAATACTCTACCCAATACTCTACCCAATACTCTACCCAATACTCTACCCAATACTCTACCCAATACTCTACCCAATACTCTACCCAATACTCTACCCAATACTCTACCCAATACTCTACCCAATACTCTAACTAATACTCTAACATACAATACTAGCTACAGTATACAATACTCTACAGACGTGATCAATGAAATCCAATCCAGCAAGTCAATGCCACGCCGGGTGCTGGGCAGCCCCGGACCGGCGAACCGTGACTGGGATGTTTAAAATTGGATACTCACAGAGTTGCATACAGTCAACTTCGCCAATAACGACATTCGGCGGGGCATCAGAAAAGTGTCCTTATTCGCGAAGTGTCCTTATAACCGAAGTCCCATTTGAATGTATGTGAACCCATATTTTGTATAGTATGACATGCATATCAAAATCAAGCTCTTTTCTTGCTCTATGTCAATGTGTACTTTATTTTCATATTGCAGTTGAAAGGAACTAAAATTCAATATGCAACTTGCAAGGGAAATCAATTGAAAAATATGCCCTTTTGAGCCATCTACAGGGCCAGAGACATGTACATGTGTGATGATTACTGTACAATCATGTACAACTACATGTACATTGTATACATATAGGTGTGCTGGTAAATCCAACAATTTTGAAGCCAACATAAAAAAGGAAGAAAAAGCCCCCCCCCCCACCCTTGGCTGCATTTTCTTGCGTGTGTGCCTATAATAATATCCATCACCATAGGCTCTGGTACTTCTGCATGACAGGTACATGTACTTGACTGACAGGTACTTGAAATAGCTGTCAAAAGCCCAGAAAGTCGTTATTCAAGCAGTGAATATGACCTCGGGGCACTAAAAGCATGTCGTTATACGCGAATTGTCGTTATTCAGATAGTCGTTATATCCGAAGTTAAATGTATACAGTTAGATGGGACTTTGCTCTGGGCATGGAAATTCGGTTTGTTATTCGCGAATTGTCGTTATATCCGCAGTCGTTATTAGCGAAGTTGACTGTAATTGAGACGAACTGTAAAACATGAACAAGACATCCATCATTGGTCATTTCTCCACAAACATGAAACCAATAATTATTACGAAGAAGAGAAACAAAGGAAGTGAGTTTCTTTATTTCTTCTTATTGTGTTTGCTTGTTTCTCTACTCTTATTCTTATCCAGTTGCCCACAGCAGGCCGATGGAGAATCCTCTACCAGAGCCCGTCATGGCTACTAACTTTGATACAGCGTTTGATAGTTTTCATCAGTTTATGAGCTTTGCCAGCAAACAGTGTGGACGTTACCATGGGAACATGGTCAGCCAGGAGCAGAGTCATGGTAACGATGAATGCATGGGCAGAACACAGCATGGAGAGAATGTGCCTACCGCAGGAGGGGCGGGGCAGCGTGGTGAGGAGGTAACAACAGCGCATGTACATGTAGCAGGTCCTCGCAGTACTCGGCAATCTCACCAACGTAGGGCACGGCCGGTTCGTACTGCTGATCGTCCTGTCCCGGTGATAAGTGAAGCTAAGACTGGTGATGCTAGAACGTGTCTTGCAATGCATGACAAAGACGGTGCTGCCAGACATCCACTAAGACAGCATCACGCCGTTAATCCACGAAGACCAGCAGGATGGAATCCACGACGACAAACCGGTAACCAATCCCACCAACATCAAAACTGCAGCCACTGTGGTCACTGTCCCGCATCACCGTCACGAAGTACAACTACCCCTGCACCAGCACAATCATCTTCAGCTGCCCGTCATCACTACGCCCAGTACCATAGCCAACGACAAGGGAATCCCCGTCACCAAGGCAACCCGTTGAATGCGTGCGGCAGTGGTGGTGGTGTGCAGGTGCAAGTCGAACCAGGTACGTATGCTGTCACGGCGGCAAGATGGGGACAAGAGGGACGGCGTAATGATACACACATTGTCAATTTAGAAAAGGAACAATGTGTCCAGCTTACCTTTGCCCTATAGCAGCACCAGCGCTAGCACCAGCACAGTTTTCCGGCCGTATTGCCAGTATTTCAAACAGAATATTTCTGGTCTGCCGCTGCTAGTATTCGATATGGACCATAATCTGGTCGTCATTGCGAGTATTTCTCACGGACTATTTTCCACTTGCGTTGCTAGTACATGTATGTCAAGTTGAACGCAGACATTGCACCCTCGACATACATACAGTTCTGTATCTACCGTTGAACGCAGACATTGCACCCTCGACATACATACAGTTCTGTATCTACCGTTGAACGCAGACATTGCACCCTCGACATACATACAGTTCTGTATCTACCGTTGAACGCAGACATTGCACCCTCGACATACATACAGTTCTGTATCTACCGTTGAACGCAGACATTCCACCCTCGACATACATACAGTTCTGTATCTACCGTTGAACGCAGACATTGCACCCTCGACATACATACAGTTCTGTATCTACCGTTGAACGCAGACATTGCACCCTCGACATACATACAGTTCTGTATCTACCGTTGAACGCAGACATTGCACCCTCGACATACATACAGTTCTGTATCTACCGTTGAACGCAGACATTCCACCCTCGACATACATACAGTTCTGTATCTACCGTTGAACGCAGACATTCCACCCTCGACATACATACAGTTCTGTATCTACCGTTGAACGCAGACATTGCACCCTCGACATACATACAGTTCTGTATCTACCGTGCAGTTTTTCAGTATATTGTTTGCACGGAAGAGGTTTATCAGCAGTCAGTTGTAACATTACTAACACAAAACATGCATTGCTGCTGCTGCTGCTGCTCTGTCCTGTTGAGGTGCTATTTTCCACCCCCTTCATTCTGTGTCACGTCATCGCGATGCTCTGCAGTGACTGTGTATGTATCCGTACTCGTACACATTTCATTTCAAAATTTGATTATTTTGTAAAAATTACAATACATACAATCATGTACATGATTGTAGTCTTGCACGAACAGCCAACACAACGCTGTGTGTCAGTGTGATTTTGATCATTTGACTATGCTACAAACTATTGAGCATGTACATGTACATGTACATGTCATTGTACACTAGTATACATAAACGTGTGTGCCAGGGTTTCCTGCACTTGCAAGTCTAGCTGCTAGTGGTTTTAAATAGGTTTCCTGCATGTACTGAAGGGGACGTGGAAATCCAGTGTGTATTGACCGGGGCCCGTGCCCTCGGCGCGTACAGAACGCTGTGTGCAGTGCACATGTTGATCCAATGGGACCAGTGCGCTGCAGCGCATACAATGCATGTGTGTACCGCTTATCCACGGAGGCCACGGCTGCATGGCCAGCGCCCTGGGGCCGCTAGACGTGCAACCGGATTTCCATGTCCACAACAGTAGATGACTACATGAGTACAGTATGTGTCCAACTGGTAGACTAGTTACAAGACAACCCGCTCCCTAGATAACTGACCCTATCGGGTACTTGATAGTGGTAGGGCCCCGTAAGAGAGTACTGTTTTACCACTAGGTTGGCACCGTGGCAGTGCACGAAGTGGAAAGCAGGCAGACGTGTATGCGCACAGTTATTACTGAGTATGTGTATAGAGTATAAACGATAAACGATGTAACATGCAACCATGTCAAGTGACTACTACAGTGCTGGCAACTGAAATCCGACCCCTGAGCGGTGCGCTCACATTCTAGCGGTCTCTATTTTCGTAGTTTTACTACCCCGTGTTGGGTCTTTGCGATGTGAGCGCACGGCTCAGGGGTCGGATTTCAGTTGCCAGCACTGTACATGACTACTAGCAGGATCACATGACTAGCTGTAGCAGTGTCACATGACTAGCTGTAGCAGTGTCACATGACTAGCAGTATCACGTGACTAGCAGTATCACGTGACTAGCAGTAGACTAGCAGTATAACATGACTAGCAGTATCACGTGATTACGTGAATCACATGACTAGCTGGATATGTGTACATAATAAAACAGAGAGGTTCCAGACACTTTGCTTTGTGAAACCAATACTGATCCAGATTTCTCATTACTGTTCTCTGATGATCGCTTAGTGCGTGAAACTCGGAGTAAAAACACTTTCCCTGTCCTCTTATTGTTTGTTTTTTATTATCTGATTATCTAAGAGAAACAGGCAGGCACAGTGGGTTGGTCAAAGACCATGATTGAGATACGAGTGGTACCTGGTTCAAGTCCTGCCTGGGAGCGGTTTTCCAGCCGTGCTGCTACCCACAGTCAACTGGGAACTTGTGGCCAGGCACAAGGGGTACATGGATGCAGCTAATGGGGTCGATTTCGGCACTTGTGCCAGTGGTTGTGAGACTTGCCCACTCACCCCCACCGTTAGGCGCTGCATCTGCCGCTAGGGTTTATCGGGTGTTAGCGGCCGTCGTGAGTTCCCTTTGGGAACGGATACGATAATTCACTTCTTTTTTTAAGAGAAACACTCACCCATCTCAGTAGGCCATTATCTTTGTTCTCAGTGGGGCCGCCCTCCACACTCATTACCAGTAGAGTCAGTCTACAGTCAGAGCAGAAAAGAATTACGGAAAATTAATACTTTTTAAATATGAAGTGAACCCTCACAATAGTTCAATATTGACTACAGTCAACTTCGCTTATAACGACACTCGGCGGGGCATCAGAAAAGTGTCCTTATTCGCGAAGTGTCGTTATACCCGAAGTCTCATTATACATGTATGTGTCACAGTTGGATGGGACTTTGCTCTGGGCATGAAAATTATGTCGTTATTCCTGAATTGTCGTTATATCGGATAATCCGCAGTCGTTATTAGCGAAGTTGACTGTATACGTTTTATAAACATGACACCGTGCCCTGCTGTAGTGCTGAGTCTAGACTCTAACAAGGCAGCCTGTGTGTACACATAATCATTGTAGCAATGAAAAATATTTTCTCGTCAAACCGGGCCCAAATATACTTGGCCAAAATGCTCAACAAGTCAGTGAGCGTTGCGTAACGCAAACGGCACAGGCACTATCCCACATAAAAGTGCTCAACTACTCACTAGTACTAGTCCTACTTGAACTTCTATGTACAGTCAACTTCGCTAATAACGACTGCGGATATAACGACAATTCGCGAATAACAACAGAATTTCCATGCCCAGAGCAAAGTCCCATCCCACAGTAAGACCGGTACATAAAATGAGACTTCGGGTATAACGACACTTCGCGAATAAGGACATCGTTTTGATGCCCCGCCAAGTGTCGTGATAAGTGAAGTAACTTAGGGGCCGTCCGTAAATGTCGATAGTTTTTACAATCCGTGAAATTTTCGTACCTGGGTGGTGGGTGCAGGCGAAATTCAAAGTAAATAAAATATCGATGACACGCGAACCTGGCGCCCAGTACTGCGTGTGCGTGGGTCTGCGTGCGTCGAACCACACGTACACGTAGATTGTTGTCTCCAAAAAAATGTAGTGGAGATCGAAACTCTTGAAGCAAAAGAAAGAGGGAAGTTTGTCAGATATTATTCACAAGTATAATTATTGCACAATTATTCTAAGTATCACAGTACCTGATTAATCCGGGTCAAGTCCAGCTCTTATTTGAACTCCACATTGAAGAATTGCTACATCGCCAATGGTTGGAACAGTTCCCATGTGGAGCGTGGCCTAACGAAAATGGCACGGCAGACTACTTTGTTTGGTACAGCTGCCAAAAAAAGATAAGTTTTTCAAAGAGCTTGCCCATAAAGGGTATGATGTATTTGGAATGAGCTGAAGAGCAAGTGATTCTTGGACAACATTCCTGGCATAAGTCTGCCAAAATACATTGCTGTACTCTAGTTATGAATGACACGGTGAGCGTATGCCTGCGTGTGTATGGACTCCATGGACTCCACCTACATTTATGTAGGTACAGTACATGTATCATCAATATTTTATTCCGTAAAAAGTAGGGGGGTGGGTGGTGGGTCCTGGTTACTTTGTAAAATTCACGGATTGAAAAAACTATCGATATTTACGGATGGCCCCTTAGTTGACTGTATGTAAAGCCATGTTGTCTGCTGAGGGTTGTAGGCGATGATACAAGAACCCTCAGACCAGTCAGGCCTCTGCCTATGGCTGTCCCCGGGGAAAATTGTGGAAAAAAATCGCAAAAAACGCGGCAAAAAACGCGGCATAATATGGCATAATTTGCGGTAAATATGCGGTAAATATGCGGTGAATATTATTGATATCATCTCGCGGCGGCAAGTTTGCAGTTGATATGAGGCAATTTTCAGTGAGTATGTAGTGAAATCAATCAGTTACAAGTCTCTGGTGTAAGCGCGCTCGTCATATTTGAGTACAAAGCCGCCACCGGATGAGACGTTGCTGACCGAACAGTGCACTGTGTGTACGTGTAGCGCAACAGAAAAGTTCAAAAAACGCGGGAAAATCGCGGAAAACGCGGTCTTTTAAAAAATCGCAAAAAAACGCGGGAAAAAATGCGGCCGCAGAATCGCAATTTTCCCCGGGGACAGCTATGGGGACCATAAGCTCAAATTCGAGACATAAAATTAATATTAATTGCCACGACACAAACATCTAGAGTACTAATGGATTTACACACCACATACGCACACACACACACACACACACACACACACACACACAAAAAAAGCACAAGCCTCCCCCCCCCCCCCACACAAAGTACACACACACACACACAAGTACAGACACGCATGCATGCCCCCCCCCCCCCACACTACTACTACTACTACTACTATCAATCAGCTACCCCTTGGGGTCACGCCGCCCCGCTCCACTCAGAGAACTGAGCGCAAGGTGAGAGGCAGTGGCGCAAACAAAACAGGAAGTACAGCAAAATGAATTGAAAAAAAGGAAATCAAAACAAGGTGCCATAATTATTGATGGAAAGGGACTCACAAACAGAGGAAAGAAATATCACAAACCAGATGAACAGTCTGCTGTAGGTCCACTATTAACATGCAACGACTGAGAAAAGGAACAAATGTGAACATGATGTTCTGTTCAACAATAACGTCTGTATGCGTACTGCTTCGGCCTTCATGAACCAGGAAAGCACAATCTTGAGCTGGAGGGTGGGCACCGAACGTCCCACAAGGGCTCCACAAGACGTACTTTCACGAAACGACGATGAGTATGCGCAGCAAGCTAACATCAATACACCATCGCTGCACGACGACTGGCCACTCAGGTCCAAACAACACGACAAATTCACAATTCCAGCTATACACCGCGCAGGAATAAATTGTTGCGAGTGTGACCTGTATCCTTTCTCATCCAGGAATCCACTTGTTTTGCCGAACGCCACTGCATTGTTTCAGGCTGGGGATTGATCCGAGGGCTCGCCACGCCACTGCGGAGGATGCGGAAAGGACGCAAGAAGACGGTGACACCAACAAATTACCCGCCCTGGTCATCAGCTCACTGAATGTCCTTCCGCGCGAGCGAAACCGGCTGCAAGGCATGAAAAGCCTACTGCCAGTCAATACCCAGGGACGACCCTGACCAGAAGGCCAAGGCCGCCCCGTGGAGGAGGCCAATAAAGCCCCCCCCCCCCACACACACACACGCGCACACACACACATGTACACACACATGTACACACACATATACACACGCACACACATACACAAGCACACCCTCCAGAATATGAACACACGTACTGAAGTATAGAGTGGAGAAAAGCGGAATATTTAGTTCTCAGTGGTCTTTTCAAGGATTTCATCAGGATCTATAAATCAAGATCAAAACAAGATTCATGCATGAACGAGTATCAAGAACATGAGGTTCTGAGTGAAATCTGAGCAGAGGAAAAGTGCGCAGATCCGGGTAAGAGGTTTTTAAAAAGGATTTGGAATATTTCTAGAATAAATAGGATACCAGAGAAACGTCAATTTTGGTTTTTTGAACATATCACGGAGAAGTATTGCGAGAGGATATCAGGCAAGTGAACGGGCTTACAGTTGGTAATATAACGGGCTTACAGTGGGTAATATAACGAGCTTACAGTTAGTAATATAACGAGCTGTTGATGATAAGTTCATGGACTAAATACTGGAGTGGGTTATGGGATAAATATGCATTGCTCAGCATGGATCTACATTGCTGGAGTGCTTATAAATAGTATATACGTACAATTGCCAGTGGTGGCTTAGAGGAGAACTCAATAGATGTACGTAGACAAGTTTGCCTGCGCAAACAGAATTGTACAATAGGGGAATAATTAGCTGGAAAGAGTTGAACTGGCTCAATCATTGGATCCAAGTGAAGCATGCTCAGGATTTCACAAGTGCAAAGCAACAAAAAGTGTACTTATTTATAAAACTATCGCTCATACCATGACATGCTGCTGCGGTTGAGGTTGACAATACGGAGGAGGTAAATCTGCGGCAGCATCTTTCATCATCACACTTGTATCGCATTGGAAATGGAATGCCGTGGATAGTTCAGAGTACCTGACTAGGAGTTCTTGTGGTGATAACAACGGCTCTGGTTGACAGCGTAAACACGGCGGTGTGAGGGGCGCGGCGGATGTGGTGGTAGGGCTGGCAGGATTGCATGTCAATAGTGATGTCGGCTCTCTGCTACTCCGCTCCATAGTGATCAATGATGGTGCACTCGCCGAGTGTCGAATACTACGAGTGCGCTGAGGTGTTTCCTCCCGAGTGCATGATGCAACAAGGGACTGAGAATGAGCAATGCGTGATGTATGTATAGCGCCACCGCTGACTGCATGAGAACTGGCGGATACATCTGCAACATGCGGGCCGCTGTTTGTGGCTGTGGCAAATACTGTTCCATCAGCCTGCTGCAAAGTGTTACAACATGGCGCCGACGACGATGACATCAAACCAGCACTCGCGTCACTCACTGCAGCATCTGTACTTGCATGTTGACATGTGCAACAAGGTAGTTCAGCAGAGTACGGTGGGGGTAGATCACACACAGCTGCTGATATGGGTACTGCTTCACCAGTCAGTGCAAGCAACTGCTGCTCCACATCGCTGCCACCTTCCTCTTCATCCGTACTAGCCTTGCATCGCTGTGCTATACATACTGCGTAGAGCGACACTATCGCCATGGCAATGGACACCATGATTACCGTGGAAACCAGGTAGAACGCTACACCCACCACAAACCGCCCAGTGACGTCATCACCTGTTTGTACGGCAGAGTCGGCCGGTTGCCGTAGAGCTTCATCTGACCAGAAGTAAAAGACCAGTACTGACAGGATGCAGGAGAAACCTACAGTGCACAGTGCACAGAGACCACAAGAACACAAGACACAGGTCAGTGATTGATAGGTATAGCTATGGTACTGATACACGTACATGTAGATATGACCACAGATACTAGCTCTGAAGACAGTTAGTTGTTGCCATTATGCACACACGTATATGTTCCACATCTCATATCCAAAGGAGTAAATAATTTGTTGATTTCCGCATCTTAGCTAGCGTACAGGTCGGCAAAAACAATAATCTTGTAATTGTTTTACGATGTCCAAAAGTAGCTTTGAACATACAATAATTCTACATGAATAGCATCGTCTCAATTCCAAAGTCGGGGCATGCCAAGGCCAGCCAAATACTGAAAAAGCAGAAATTTTCGGTGGTGTAATATTTTCAGTATTCTCCAAAATCGGCGGTTCGGCGGAGGGAAATTTTCGGTAAACCCGCGTTCCAGGTAAGTGTACTAGTACTATACAGACATTTTCGGTGCGTTTTATTTTCGGTAAAAATTTCGGCACCGAAATTACTGAAAATAAAACACCACCGAAAATTTCTGCTTTTACAGTATAGCACATATCGGTGCATGTCAATGCCAGCCAAATATAGCACATATCATATCGGTAACCATGAAAACTTACAAGTGAGGAGAGAAGCCAGTGCGTGCACCACAAGACAACGAAACTTTGTCTCAGTCTTCCTGAATCTCCACTGCAACGCTATGGTGCAAACAGCAGCTAGTGCTGCGAGTACGGACAGTACGCATAGCGATTGGCTAGCGATGAGCTGCTCGTTATGTGTGTGATAGTCAACATCCCATAGAACAGGTCTAAACTCCGGACTTGATGCTGACAAATCTTCACACACAAGAAACAAAAGAACAAACAAATCTCTGGTCAGAATCAATGGCAATTGTCTTGCAAGAACCTACACATCGGTACAATATTTTTACAACTAGGCATTTCAAATATACAAGCCCGTCAGTCTCCACAGAACTTTACACATAAACACAAGTGCAACAGTTACACAGATACATACAAAATACATGTACATACAAAATATGTGGACTCAGATTTCTATGAGGAAATCATACTGATGATTCCCACCACTTAGATCTGTCGGGCATTCCGTCCCGAATACTCAATGACATCATGTGGAAGTTACTTATTACTTCAGTAGCGGCTACTGAGTATTACATCATGCACATGTACACACAATCCCCCAATTATGTACTTATTGTGATAGTCATGACACTTGTTCCTCACTCACTTACTCCCTCTCTCTCTCTCTCAGACTCCCACACTCCCTCTCTCACTCTCAGACTCTCACTGGTGATTAGGAATCACATTCCATGTTGGACACTGTGCACTCAGCAGGATCAGTGCTGTCAGCATTGTCTGAAGTGTCAGAAGTGCCAGAAGTGTGTGCACTGTGTATTGTGAATTTCTAATGCACTACAGCCTACAGGACAGCATGCTCTCACACTGACAATGACTCATTGAGTAGCAACAACTGCTGCAGCTGACATCATTCAACTAACTCAAGTACTAGTAGTACATGCAGTAGATTCTTTTGGGGGTCAGTGCTTGATAACACACACAGTCACACAGTCACACACTCACACAGTCACACAGTCATGGAAGTGCCAGGAGGACACATGGAAGTTATGCACTCCGTGACCATGGATCAATGCATGCACTTCCCTGTTACCCACTATTGCCCCATACTATGGTATGTAACAACTGCATACTAGTAATAAGGGAATGTGTTACAAGTACAATGAATTCCTTCAGACACAGACTACAATAACCTATGGTATGCTGCATATCAGCACGTAGATTGGTGTGTGGTTTGCAGAATGAGGAAGACCAAAGAAGTATCTGTGTGATGTGCATGGACAATCCCCTGGTCATAGCCTGTATCCAACTCCCATGCCACACACTTTCATACACCCAAACACTTGTAACAGCTAGTCAATGGCAGTGATGGTCACTGAGTGATAGTTATACTACTCTGTATTCTGCAGTACAGTTAGACAGAGAGTCATACAGGACACTGCAAAACAATGAACAAGTCAGGACTATGGAGAGTCATACAGGACAATGCAAAACAATGACCAAGTCAGGACTATGGAGAGTCATACAGGACATTGCAAAACAATGACCAAGTCAGGACTATATTCTACAACCCATGAACGCAGTTGCTTTCTCATGTACATGCATGTATATCATGTACATGCATGTATATCCTTAGGATGATCTAGCTGCTATAACTAACGTATTACTTCATTGTACATTATTGCAATCTTGAATGCAATCATCCAGACACTGTACTAGTCCCAGACTTCCCCCCAAAACAGCAATGCCACATTTGTCGACTGTAGACTGTAGTGTAGCTAAGTTAGTTCGGGCTGGAGAACCTTGAGACACCACTGCATGACCAGGACTGAGTCTGTCAGCAGTACTTCCTAATCCTAAGCTGCACGAGCCACTGACAGACTACCCATCGACTAGTGTAGTGTCAGCGGTGGTACCATTGAAGCAGCACAAACGAATCGGCACAAAACCAGCTGATCGTCTCGCTTGGTTGAACCTCACCGCCATCTAGAGACGTTCATGCACTCACAATACAATGGTTCGAGTGTGGGAGTGTGGCGGGTGCGTGGTCCCCTGCACAGCCCATCTCAGGCAACAGGCAACATGACGGATGCCTCTAATCGGTAATCCATACAACCAGCATGCTCAATGTAGCATGTGGACTACCACAGTGCGGCCGGTCGATAGCCATTCCCTGATTCTTTCACAATTTTTTCTAGTCACAACAACTATTGCTACTCGCCATACAGCCGCTGTTTTCTGACGGTGAGCGCTAACATTGCCCAAGTGCGCTGGGAATACTAATAGTACTCGCAGTTGATCATCAGGCACTACACATCGTCCCACAGCTGAGTTCACTCCAGCATTGGACTAGTCACAATCTTGATTGAATACACAATTGCAGAAGTCGTACGACTACATACCCCCTGTATCACCTTACAACAACACCAACAAGGAATGAACGATGTAAGTTCTAAAAGTTTGAAAACTTGAACAAGCGCATTATCAGATTATGGCGCGTTGATCGGCTAGGCACACACGTCCAGTAAGTCTTAGTCTATACAACCACCAGAGCCTGCGCACGGCACATACTGTCACTGGTTAGTTTGAGAGGCGATGTTGTTTCCTAGGCTAGAGACGAGAGTGACATTTCCTTTCGCAAGGCGTTCGTTCGTACATGCACAGGCAACAAGCAATCTATCCACCACTGACTGTCCCACTGGACCAAACTAGCAATCTATCCACCACTGTCCAACTGGACCAAACTACGATTAGCACTAACACAGATAACTAGTACCTGGATTTGTAGCACGCATACCGACACAAATACAAACATCGATGCAAATCCAAAAAATACGTGTGCACAGTAATGTCAGTATGGTGAAACAAGACGAGAGCCGTACGACTATTACTTACATGTAAAGCACGTGTTTAGCGTGCTCCTCTCGCATATCATGAAGAGTCCTAGCGTCACAGCACTGCTGTTTCTGCGAACAGTCTCCGAACCATCCATCAACAGCAACTCGGTACTGGGTCGAACAAGCCACGTTGGCATCACACATCCACTCAGCAAGAGTGATGCGCCCACAATCGACAGAAACAAACTGAACACGCGAGGTCGTTGCTGGTGATCCAGACCACAGAAAACGGAATCTTCGTTAGAAGACGTCAAACGGGGTGTTGGGGATGAAGTTCGCGCAGTGTGACTAGCAGCTGATGTTGCAACAGGAGCTCGATCCATATCCGAAGTTGTCAAGTGTGACGCTATCTGCAGCGAATGAGATGCTGCAGCAATGCTTCCCCTAAGATCTCCTCGAGCACGTTGTGATTGGTGAAAAGTCGGCACAGGAGCTTCCATTTCAAAAGACGAAGCAGCTCCTGACTGGAAACGAAAGGCAAGAGCAAGCAGAATGGACAGACGAGAGAGCAGAATAGCGCCCTACTTCACCAGACTGGTAGTGAGAATGATCAACCAAGAGTCAAGAGCGCGGACGTAACGTCTCTTTGAAAGCGTACCAACACAACAGAAGAAGGACTCACACAGTCACCTTTTGACCTTCCTTGGGTGACAGCATCCGCGCATCACGAGTAGATAACGTGCATAGTTCATGTTCGTCACAACAAGCTGCTGCAAGTGCATGCCATGCGCCAAGCCACTACTTCAGCCATATCACAGTGAGTACAAAATCTGAAAATCGGGCCATGCGCGGCATGTGGCCATGGCATTTCGTCGTGGTTGCGCTTCTGGCACGTTTCGATCGCGTGCTGTCACTTCGACCGCGTATACGCGCGTGCGCCGCGTTTGCACTGCATGCACACATGCACAATGCACTGAGTATCGACGGTCACATGATCCTAGCTTCCATGTACACGCGCTCTAGTGGCCTGCACCACAATCTGTCAATCACGCGCTCGCTAGCGATCGCTCTGTCACTCGACTGCATGTACTCACAGTCACACAACCACAGTCACAGATAGTCAGTCACACATCGCTTGTCGTGATCACACACAAAACTCACTAACTAACGACGTGTTAGTGTTACTTGCTCGAGAAATGTTCGGTCGGCTAGCGACTACTCACTGAGCCCACCACGCGCTCAGTGCTCACCCGACAAGACACCCAACAAAACCCAAGACTGACGTCATGACAGGAAGAGTCAAGATTCATCCTGCCTGTACATAATCATTACATCGTTACGTATTGGACCGTGTAACACACGACTCGTGAGTCGTGAGTCGTGACACAAGACGACGTGTCACCATGGTCACTCAGCCAAACCAGGCCACCAAACGCTGGGTACGGGTACGTACTGTAGTAATACATGACGTATACTCCATAGTCCATAGTCACACAAAAAGGCACAACTGACTGACTAACTGCATATACATGTCGCCTGATGAGTCACCGTGCGAATAATCAGCTCATCTCTTCCGTAGCTCCACCTCTCCTTCCATCAATGGCATCATGACCGAACACCAACTACACGTCATTTTTTTAATTATTATAGCAATGTCCGAAGCCTGCACAGACATGGCTGCTGAAATCCAGAGGTCATGACTTCGTATCATGAGTAATGTAGATCTACATTGGACTAGATCCCACCCGTCGAGTCGTCCGCCCCAGGATACCTGATAAAGGCTGATTCACTCGCATCTTCTGCTACATGTACTGTATCAGTGTGAGAAAGAACTTTGAAGAAGACGAGTTCGACCATACAATAATAATGTGTTGCCATGATTTCTACCCTGCTTCGATTGGCTGAGACTGAGAGACTCACCTACTCTCCCCTGACTCACTTGTGAGGTCTGCATTTGCCACTAAGGTACAAGGCATAGGCATAGTGGTGGCCTGCGGAAGCGAAGGCTAGTTTGTGTGTTTCCGAACATTCAAGCGATGTCAACGCGAATCCCGCGAATTATTAATTATCATTAGTATGTTCATTGAAAACACTATCTGCAGTGCATGCCCTCCAACTTCAAGCCCTTTACCATGCACTCAGGAGCAGACCACCAGGACTGACCAGGTGCATTGTACACAATTGTATAGCCTACATACTAGAATTGTGGTACAATCATGTAGTTATGCTCCTACCTCCGAAAGGATGCCAAATTATGCTGCAAATTTTCAACCACCAAATTATGCCAATAATTATGCCGGCATAATCCGCCGGTGCCTACTCAGTGATGATTGCATTGCGCAAGAAACTCTGAGGTGCCTAGGAGGCTAGGTCCTAGACCTAGACTCGAATAGTGGCTGAGCAGATTCCGATCGCAATAAGTCACTTGCCCTTCCAGGCGCGTCGCACCGACTTTTGAGGTGGGGCGGCCAGGGAAAAATTTCAAAAATTGAAGCCAATTGCAAGCATTTCCGGGCATTTGGTGCCATTTCAGTGTACGGTAACTATAATGAAAGATTTTTGATTCTGCAAAAAAACAAGAAGATGCTACGATCGGGGACAAACATTACCCTCCCCCGGGAAAAAATTCAAAAATTGAAGCCAATTGCAAGCATTCCCAGGCATTTGGTGCCATTTCAGTGTACATGTACATGGACTTTTGATTCTGCAACAAAAATTGCAAACCACGATCGGGGACAAGGATTTGCCACGTTTTGTTGCAGTGTGCTCAAAAAACTAAAACAAACAAAAAACAAAAACAAAAAAACGGCTGAAAAAGTGGGGCGGCCGGTGCGGTTCCGACGCCCTTGCCTTCGTGAATCTTTGTCCACTGAAAACGAAGTGCACCGGCCGCGCGTGTGCTACATGGACATGTCCATGTACAGTAGGTATCGGTTATAGCGTGGGTGTTTGAAACACGACATTTGATTCTTATTGCCGATATTTCTTACACACGATAAAAGTTAGGGTTAGGCACGTGTGACATAATATGCACGTGTGACATAATATGCGAGCACGTTTGGCATGTGGACACGTACAATCATGTAGGTCTACACATGATACACGGATCAGACTCGCGGTCGTGGTAGGCGACTGCCGAGCAGCAGATACGAGAGAAGTCGGAAGAAAGAGTCCTACTGGACAGAAAAAGTGATTCTCCAATGCTCAGTTGGACACAACTCTCTTTTTGTGTTGAATATTATTGTATTGAGTATCCACAGAGCACAGATGTTATTACTGTGATAACTCGCTCGGACAGCGTTCCGGTTAGTCTCGCCCATGGCTGTGTCGTCTCTAACCCTCGGAACGTTTTGTGACAAGTATAGTCACGGCTGGCATAACGCAACTTCACCCAGTCCTAACCCAACACACACATAACCAACTGATCTCGTCAGAGCAGAGAATATGTTCACTGTTTGGGAGAAGAGCACCGAAAGAACCTCTCGCTAAAAGCAGCAGCATGCCATGATATAACACATCGTAGAAAACAGCAAGCAGCGGCAGTAGCGATAGTACTTGCTAAACATGCAGCTGAACTGCCACTTTGTCCGCTGCGCGGAACGGCGATCGGACACGCACACGCACACACATACACGCACAGGTCTGCGTGATCTAGAAGCGGCTGTCATCATAAGATACGCAAAGTGTGAAAGGGTATTAGAACGGGGCAAGCCTAGACCCGGCGTCTGGACCGCAACATGTACTTGATTAAAAGCATAGCCAGTCAATGGTCAAGCAGGTGCAATCACGCACATCCACACCTAGCGTACTACTACTACTACTATAAAGCGAATTCATAACTACAGGTATTGCACTTTCTACTGCAAATGCACAGTCGTGCGCTTCATCCATTGACAGCAGCAAAACCTATCATTTTACAGTCTCACTGGGTAGGTGACCTCGCCGGCACACACCGTATATTATATTGTACAATAACTGTTCCAACTACGGTCCGGAAGACACAGTGTGTCCACGTTCTACGCACAGTAGCTATCAGCAGTAAGTTAAAAGTTACAAGCCCTCACTCTCGGGCTATGACATCTCCCCGCGCCTTCGAAAAGACTGCCACGTCCTCGTGGCGACAACATTCGGCTTACCGTCGTCTTCTCAACTGGGTTTGCATTCCAAAATACTGCGGTGGCCGGACGGTCCTCCCAGCTCGAGTCTGAACCGCAATCTGGGCTGGTTGTGGCGGTGGCTGGTTGACTGGTAGCGGGATCTGCACAACTGGTTGGCCGCCAACACCGTCCACGCCGCCATACGTCTCATGCTGGGCATCCTCATCAGAATCCCAATACAACAAGTCTGTAGGGTCCGGCACATACACATCAGCCGGGGGCGTTTCGACAGACTCAGCATCTTCAGGTTCCTTCACCTCACTCACAACGAATCTGGTGATACGTTCTAGTCACGCCTAAGTGACCTAGATGATCATGGTACTCACTCAGCACCTGACCGCGCAACGCAACTGGCACCAAAATTTGAAACTTTGTGCCCTCTCCTGCGTTCTCACTGTGCAAAACGCGACATATCACGTCCTCTCGCACCACAAGGCATTTTCGTCCTCGGAAATAATGCCTCAGAGCCGGACTCACACCAGTCAAGTCAGGCGAAGATGACCCGGAGCTGAGCCACTCACTCAGCCGTGTCAATTCATGATCACGTTGCTGAACATCAGCCCAATCAGCTGATGTCCAGTTTCGTCGCCGCACAAAGGGCGTAGGAAGGTCACTCTGGACCGACTCAGCATTCTCCACTGAGCTCCTTTCGTCTGATACCACAGCGATCACCTCATCAGGGACTGTGGTGCCACACCTCTGATCCTGCACTTGTCGAGACAAGCCATCAGCATTGGCATGGACTTTACCTTTCCGATAACGCACCTCGTAATCGAAATCACTCAGAAACTCAAGCCACCGCGCCACGATCGCACTTGGTTCTTTGAAACGGTTCAGGTATTTTAGTGCTTGATGGTCTGTGCGCACGACAAACCTTCGACCCAGCAAATAGCATCTGAAATGCCTAAATGCCCACACTAGTCCGAGGAGTTCACTCTTCGTCGAGCCATAATTCCTCTCGGCAGAGTTCAACCCTCTGCTTGCATACGCAATAGGTCGCTCCCGACCATCTGCGTCGGTCTGGGACAACACAGCTCCCAAACCATGGCCACTTGCGTCCACATCGACTACAAATGGGGGCGCATCGGTCTCAAACCTCGGATACGCCAACGTGGGTGCTGAAGACATCTTCTGTTTCAGCAATTGGAATGCGATCTCACACTCGCCATCCCATGAAAACCTCTGGTTTTGCCTCGTCAGCTTCACCAGCGGCCGAGAAATGGATGCAAAATCCTTCACAAACCGTCGATAGTAGCCACAGAAACCCATAAAAGAACGCACCTCTGCTACGTTCTTTGGGCACCGCCACTCTGACACGGTCTCAATCTTGTCCGGATCGGTGCGCACACCATCCTTCGTGACAACATGACCCAAGAAATTGACTTCTGTCCTCAACAGATGACATTTCGAGGGTTTCAACCGAAGACCAGCCTCCAGTCGTTCCAAGTGTTCGTCAAACGTCTTTGAGAACACGATAATATCATCGAGGTATACCAGGCACATCTG